AATAATAAAAATTGCGACCGGCATTTTCTATCGTAAAAGGGGGCGTATTGCTATTTTCTCTGCTTCGAGCGTCGAACGCGTTGATATTTAACGCTCGCCAGCTTGCGAGTAGTCAGGGGACACACCTGTTTAATTTCCAACTTCGTGGACGCCATGGGATGTCGCAAAGATTTAATGGATTTTGATACACTCGCTTACTTAGAGGAACAAACAGAATTTAAACGGTTATACGCGGTAAAATCTCGGTATCAATTCGTTGCTGACTGACACTCGCGTCAATACTGACACAGCGGTCAGGGCCTACGATGGTACGTCCAGGTGGGCCTACTATGCGTGTTCGCTTCAGTGTTAGATTTCACGGGTACGTCGTGGATTGACCATTTCACGAATTTCACAAAATTTGAAAGATAGTTATTAAATTGGGTCTTCCTAGGTTTCACAGAAATAGTCGGGGACGTTAGGGACGCAATTGGACCTAATAATTTTATATTACATACACCAAATTTTCCCATGATTTCACGGGTAAATTCAATTCAATTCGCTTGCGGGCAATAATAGCTTTTATCGTAATTAAAAATTAGCTCGTATTGTAATAAATAGATTTCAATCTTGCAAATGAAAAACAACCAATCGGGATTTTACAAAACTTTTCTGGCGATTTAAGCGCGTTTACCGATCGTACCCATATGTTTTTCGTTTTGCTACTATAATAAATGTAAAATGAAAAAAAAAACAAAAAAAAGTAACATTAAATTTAGTATTCAAATTGGTTTGAATATATCCATCGATTTCTTCTACTGGAAGCCTTTGTTGTATATTTGGGGTTGATTTACTTACAGAATGGCTAACTAATGACAAATTATTTATTTAAATGGCGACATGTTTAAAGAGTTCGAAATATTACCAATAAAACTTTTTTCCTCTGTAATCCTAGTCCTATACCGTTACATTTCGCAGACTTTCTGTCCCTTCTTATTGTTATTACAATTCTCATAAAAAAAACACACCTCGTTTCAATACAACCTTTTACTGAATAAAAAGTAAATAGTTTTTGAAGTCGTGATATTTTGTTGCGATTTGTGAGAATTTTTCATTAAATAAGTGTCTTTAAAGAATAAACAAATTAAATTTTCTAAAAAGTTACACTGCGAAAATCTTAATCGTTTAAGATAAAACGGTAGTTTGTTATATACAGTGTGTCCAAGATAAGGATGCACAGCATGGGGATCTCGGCAACTATAAGAGATACAGTGTCGGTTAAATTAGACAAAAGTTGCGCATTTTGATACCGAACAAGATCCCGTTTTACGAATTTGAAAATTCCAAGCCGTTCCGGAAATATCCGAGAAAAACCGAAATATTGCGATTTCGTTTTTATTATTTTTTAAAGCTATTTGAAAGGATATGAAAAAACGGAAAACACTTTTCCATTGGCACTTTGACGTTAACAAATTTTCATTACAGCGTTTCGATTCCATGGAACCACCATCAACTTTGATTTTTCTTATGGGACGGGAAAAAAGTACACACAGTATTAGGTTGTGCTTTTCATTGCGAATTCAACGATGTACGATACAATACGGTTACTTATGTTTTTATCCAGAAAAATGGCTTTTTAATACATTTCAGCATTTAAATGGAGTAGGCCATGACAAAATGACATCCAGTCAATTTCAATGACACATTAATGTTATTTGTCTTTGTTATCAGTCGATCATAAGTTTATTCCTTTAGTTATTGTTTTTGTATTTTTATTGTTGTTGTCTTTTTCTAATTTATTTTGTTCTACAATGGAGGGAGGTAATTTTACAAACGAAGAAAAATGTGATATGCTGTCTTGCTACACCTGATGCCAAAGAAATTGTGTGGAAGCCGAGCGTATGTATTCTAACAAATACCCAGAGCGGAGACAACCTGACAAGAGTATTTTTCGGCGTTTGTTATTTAATCTGAAAGAATATGGATCATTTAAGAAGCCTGCATTATCCCGACAAAAACCTTCCAATGAAGAAAACCAATACATTGTTCTACAATCTGTTATCGAAAATCCACAAACTTCTACCAGAGAAATTGAAGACCAGAATGGGGTAGCTAAATCTACAGCTCAGTTTATTTTAAGGAAAAATGAATTTAAGCCTTACAAATTCAGAATATGTCAAGGATTAAAACCGGGTGACGACGAACGACGTAGACATTTTTGTGAGTGGTATACCAGGATGTGTGATGAGAGTTTTAATTTTCCATATAAAGTGATTTGGTCTGATGAAAGTATGGTGACCAATAACGGTATTTATAACAGGCGCAATACACACTATTGGTCGCAACAAAATCCACGTGTTAATAGACTATCCAGACATCAAGTTCGCTTTGGGTTTAATATTTGGTGTGGGATTTTTGGTAGCAAGATTATAGGCCCTATTTTCTATAATAATTCCTTAACTTCCGAGCGGTACCTTGACATCTTGAGGCACGATTTAGAAGATGCCTTAGATGATTTACCGCTAGGCGCTGTGCAAGGCTGCTGGTTCCAACAAGATGGTGCCCCAGCCCATAACTCCAGAGAAGTTCGCCAATATTTAACTGAACGGTTTGATGGGAAATACATTGGGACTTACAGTGAAACACCTTGGCCTCCAAGGTCCCCGGACTTAACTCCCTTGGACTTTTTCTTATGGGGCTACATAAAAAATGAGGTATTCAAAGAATGTTTTGACAACGAGGACCAATTACGTCAATCAGTACGAGCAGCGTTTAATAAAATTACTCCTGAAATGTTAAGTCGTGTTTTGGAGTCTACCGTGAGACGGGCGTACTTATGCCTAGAAAATGGAGGTCATTTATTCGAACATTTGTTATAGAATTTGTTTTTCATTAACTTGTTGGATTTAGTTGTTATGTTAAATGAACAGTTAGAGTTAGTAAATAAATAAACACATTAACTCGAACTTGTCAACCATTTTCTTTTGCCTTTCATCGTTCGGATCTCATGGCCTACTACAATAAAATACTAGAAATGTATTAAAAAGCCATTTTTCTGGATAAAAACATAAGTAACCGTATTGTATCGTACATCGTTGAATTCGCAATGAAAAGCACAACCTAATACTGTGTGTACTTTTTTTCCGTCCCATAAGAAAAATCAAAGTTGATGGTGGTTCCATGGAATCGAAACGCTGTAATGAAAATTTTTTAACGTCAATTTGGAGAGATTAAAAAGTGCCAATGGAAAAGTGTTTTCCGTTTTTTCATATCTTTTCAAATAGCTTTAAAAAATAATAAAAACGAAATCGCAATATTTCGGTTTTTCTCGGATATTTCCGGAACGGCTTGGAATTTTCAAATTCGTAAAACGGGATCTTGTTCGGTATCAAAATGCGCAACTTTTGTCTAATTGAACCGACACTGTATCTCTTATAGTTTCCGAGATCCCCATGCTCTGCATCCTTATCTTGGACACACTGTATACACATTGTGCCAAAAACCAACTAACCAAGTATGCCGTGCTACAAATATGGCTAAAAAATAATGTTTCATATTTATTTGATATTAATAATGAAATTTTTATCCCTGAAGATCCTTTTACGAGTGTTGCGGATCGTTATTCGCATTCGCATCGAGTCCATTTAAGGTAAGCTGTAAGCGTCCGGTTTTAACATAACGTGTATTAGTTATTACTTATTTATGCGGATATTTCCATAAAATTAATAATATATATACCGCAACCCGGCTAAACCTTAACAATGACAAGCTCGATGGGAAAAATGTTATTTATTTAGGAACGAAATAGTTTAGAATCCATTTATGGCCGATGCGGAACTCGATATCCTATATATTTTTTTAAGTTTTTCGAAGGCTGTCCATGGAGCCCAGTCTAGTTCTTTTTCATTTAATTAGCGACTAAAATCACGATGATTATCGGTGTTGCGCGTAAGACAATAGACTTACTGTTACTGTGGAAATATGGAATGGAAATATAAAAAAAAAGAGGATTAAATGATAACTAAATAGGTAAATCACGTAACATTAACTCCTTCAACTTTAAAACACCTTAAACCAGAATAGGATCGAAATCAATTATGGAGAATGAGTATAATATACTTAAGACTTCGGGTATATGATTAAGAAAGAGATAAGCAAAATCAAAAATAAATATTTGTGAGGAAACTTGCATAGACATGGATAATTTTGTAGGAAGTATCGAGAACCAAGTCACATCCCCTTGATACACCTGATTTTACACATTTCAGATTTCACGGATCTTCGAATAATTTTTACGAATTTTACCGATTTTTTTTTACCGTGAGTAGTCTCGGTGGCAGTTTTAAAATAAAAATAATTAAATTGGTTATGAAATAGACAAATACATTAATAAATGATTCCGTAAATATTTAAAATGGACATAAAAATTATATTTTTAATTTTTTTCAAAATTCTGTTTCTTATTTTTTTTTTCGCTTCGAGCAAACACGTTTTTATTTCACCAAGATTTCACGGGTTTCACATAGAACGAAGACTTCGCAGATTTACCCCTCGGGAGGTATGAAATGATGAAGAACTTTGCAGGATTGCAGGAATTATAATAATTAAAATTCATCTTTGTTGTCTTTGTTCTCAAAAGTGCTTGCCTTCTCAAAGTCGCTTGGTTTTGTTAGAAAGAGTGCTAATTATTATTCTGTTGCCCGTACTTTGACGTTATGCTCGTAAAACATTTAAGTTTTTCATATTGCTACCTAGCTTCCTTTTGTTCTATAGAAACTAAATGCTAGCTTTGTCCTCATTTAATACGCGTTTATTTCGATTGAATCGATTGTTTGCCTAATCGAGAGCTGTCAACGGCGAACACCTCTTCCAACAAATTCTATACTGATAAATTCGAACCGATCGCTGTAAAGTTAGTGAGTGAAGAAATGGACGATAACCGGCTGAAACTGTAACTGACTCTTAACGAACGGTCGCTCGCTTGTCGAAACCATGAAATCAATCAAGGCGATTTTTCGCAGAGGACAGAACAAAGATGGCCAAAACCATCCCGATAATCTGTCCAGGACCTCGTCCGTGACCAATTTGGATTCGTTGGAAGTGCAGCAGCAGCAGCAGCAGCAAGGCGCCGTCAAACTGCCCAAACCCAAAAAGAGTGGCTCCAAGGAACGAATAGATAAGGCCAGTAACGATGGAAAGGGGCGCAACGACGGTAGAAAAGGTAAACGTGTGTTTTTGTCGATTTTTCACTTACGCACAACCTACGTGCACGTTACATCTAGCCAAATTTAAAACGTTAACCGCCCCAATGGCTCGTAGCGTTTCTCAAAACCATTTGGACGGGGCGAGTCAACAAATGATCATTATCTCGTTACAAAAGTTATAAAGATTGTTGGGATTTTGTTGTGAATTCCTTTTTAAATTCTTCGTCTTTTCTTATTAATGCCTAAACCGAATGGGTTTTCCAATATTTTAATTTTTCTAGTTTCTCGTTAGTAAATCGTTCGTATTTGATATTATCGTACGCAACGAATATATTTCATTTCGTTTTTAATTGAAAACTATCGATTTTCTTAAATGGCACACCATACATATTGTTATATTTTCTGCAAAATCCTACAACTTTTATTAAGTACGTCCTATACCTATTTTAATTTTTCCAATATTCCAAACGAAATAAAGTTATCAAAATCCGATAGTTTTGAACGCCTCCGTTACGGAATTGTTCCCAGGCATTCACAAAATCAACAACAACAAATTAGATCCTACACCGTCCGTCGGGGTCCCGCCTGTCGATTCCAGTCGGCAGGGCAACTCCAATTCTTCGGATTCGTTACAAGAGATCGAACTGCATCAGTTGCGTAGGCAACTGAAAGACATGGCCGACGAGAAGACGTCACTGGCGTTGCAGTTGGGCGAGCAGAGGGGCCAACTGAACGTACTACAGAAGGAAAACCTCAAACTCCTGGCACGTAACTCGTGATATAATTATACTTTTATTGCTACAACCATCGAAGTGCGCGGGCCAATTTATGTAGTAAAAAACTTAATTAAATTAATTTCAAAACGTCAAAAGTATGTGCGCACATTTTTTAAAAATTATTTAATTGACTGAGAAGACGGGGAGGGATGGGTATTTCTATGCTTAGAAACTTATTTTGAACCTTATTAATGTTAAACTTGTATTTAGTGTTGGTACTGACTATCAATTGACAATTTTTTTAACTGTAGAGTGTTACCTATCATTTTTTAATAATATGTATTTTATAGTAAATTATTTTGCATTTGGGATTGACAAACTATTTTTTGAAATTATGAAGAAGAAAAGGGCCGCACAGTGCAATGTTTTAAGACATGTTAAATTAAAATCCCTCACATTTTACTTGTTTTTTATTTCTACTAAAGCTAAGCGCGAAACACTTATCACTATTGAAATGTAATTTATTTTTTATAGTCCGGTCATGAAGACAGTCAACGTAATTTTTAACTATATAAGCATTTTCGAATCATAGTCCGAGGCGACCAAATTATTAAATAAACCACAGAAAAAGCGTAGAACCAAAATTGGAACCCTGCGGTACACCTGACGTTGCAAATTTTTGTATATCTGGCACTTAATTGAAATTGAAAAATATTGCAGTCTTTCCGGGAGGAAAGTAGTACGAAAATGGAAAAACTGGCCGAGGAGAATACGGCTTTGAGGAATCGACTTAGGGACGTGACTCATTCGCCGCTTAGTGACAACGAGAAACAGCAATTGCTCTACGAATCTCACAGACACCACAGCAGTGCCCCGGCTTCAATAGCTACCAACGTGAGTACTCTGTTGTTGATTTTTTGCGTCGTCACCCTAGTACCATGTCTCCATCTTTCGACGGTTTCGCGAAATAGTGACGCAAATCGGCTTTAATTATACGAAATCTTACTGATTTAAGAAATACTGTCCATGGTGGTTAACCTCGCGGATATGTTGCTTAGTTGCTAGATGATAATGGAGGAGGCGCAAGCGCGTGCACCACTCCGGACTGGGATAAGCATTCCAGCGGCAATATCAGCGAGGTGTCCGTCGCTTGTCTCCAAGACAAGATCAATCAGATGCAAGAAACTCACTACAGGTTTGCACCGTCTTTTTTAAAATTGTTTTTACGTTAGTTCTGCGAGTTTTCCGTAACAAACACGTGATGGTGCTTTTACAATTACTTTTTTTTTTACTTGATTAATTCAATCATTTACCAATCGAAATTGATCGATATTATGAGCAAAACAAGTAACATGAAATTGGTTAGAATAAAATATTTTTAAATAATAAATATAGGGTGCAGTTACGCTTAAATTGTTAGTTTTTTTCCAATCTACCTTAAACGGAGTCACTGGTTTTCCCTAAGACTCCATTCAATGTATGTGCAATATATCTCCTACAGTTGTTTCATCAACCACGAGATAAAAAGTGGCACATTGGCTTCATTGACTGATTAAATCAACATCGCATATCTTTTGTTAAACCGTTTGTTTTGCATTCTTTGAATTTTTAAAATTTTCTAGAAGTCCCTGCTCCATTTTCACTGTATTCCATTAATTTTATTTTGTGCTAGGCAATTTTTTATTTATCTCTGTTGACTCTTTTATATTCGCTTTCAGTCCCTTGTGTTTTCTATAAATTCATCCAATCCGCGTTTAATTTTCGGACTTATATCCTCGATCATTGTCAGTGTCAAACAGTCATTTTTCTCTAATCCATCATATGTGTTATGCAGCTAGACCTAATATAAAGTTGCTAGACACTCGTTTCCATGTCGTCCATTCTAAAATAAAAATCACCCACGCAGCACCAACGAGGAGCTGCAGGCGACGCTGCAGGAGTTGACCGATCTGCAACGGCAACTCACCGAGTTGCAGCAGGAAAACGAGAGACTGAACGAGGAGAAAAGCCTAATGTTCGACAGTTTGTGTCGGCAGACGGAAAGACTGAACGATTCGCGACAAGAGGTGGAGAACCTGAAACAGCTTATTTATAGGTATTTTTCGGAAGCATTTTTTTTCCCGCTACGACGCTTCTCCGTTCGCTTTCAGAGACCGATCCGAAGAGATGGGCGTCGATCACTTCGAATCGGTAGCCGAGAGGGAACAAAAACTGGTCGAGATGCTGCAAACGACCCAAGAGGAGAGGGAGACCTTGCTTTTGAAGCTGGGGCAAATACAGACGGAACTGCACGAAACCAGAGCCGGTATTTATTTTATATAAAATTTTGAACACTAAAAACCAGCCACAAAATTGGGAAAGGAACGTGTTAAACGTGCCTTTTTTCTTTTGACATAAATTTGATCAGTGGATACTCGACATTTTGCCCGTTACGAGTTGAAATGGTTTTTTTTTATACAGTAACGGTTGAAAAAAGCGACACGATCGCGCAGCTAACCGAGCGGGTGAAAACGCTGGAATGTTCGTTGGACGCGAAGAACGCCGAACACAAGCAACTCGACCAAGAGCTGACCCGGGCGAAAGATCAATGTTCGGGCAAGCTGATCGAGATTAATAGGTTGAGCGATTTGCTCGAAAACGCCAGGACCAAGGTATGCACGTGAAAATGAACGTCTTGTTGCTAACAAAAGTCAGTTTGCAATGATTTCAACCACGTACCCAGAGAGATCAAGAGAGATATTGAACCAAGAAGGAATTTTTTTTCGACATGTTTTTGTTATTTATGTTGTCAATATTCGCGTCTATCGAAATCTATTTTGTCGGACTGCTATTCTCATCAAGAAATCTTCAGGTCTAAGTAGTTGCCGCACATTCTTCTCTTGGGTTCTGCACAGCTCGAAGAGGCGGAGCCTCCGAACTGATGCGTTGATTCGTGATCTGGTTCTATTCAGAACCTTGAACGTCCCAATCTTGTATTTCTCGAAGAACGGCACTAATCCTATATGAATCGTAGATAAACGAACTGGAACAAGATAGAGCATTGAGCGACAAGAGCGAGTTGGACGAGTTGCTGGACAACGCGAGGAAAGAGAAGGACCAGCTGGAGTCGGAGGTGGCCTATCTGAAGGAGCAGCTGGCGCGAAGCAAGAACGAAATCGACAAGCTCAGGGAGCAAGTGATGGTATTGCAGGAAGAATGCAAGGTGAGAGTGGCGGTTGATGATCGCGGTTCAGTTCTCAATTGGAGCCCCGTCGTTCGATTAGGTTACCAGGAACAACGCGAAAACGACACGGTCCGATTTGGAATACAAATGCGAGAAGTTGGCCCACGAGAAGAACAGTTTGGTTGAACAGCTGCAGCAATTTCAGGAGGCGATTAACGAGTTGCAGGTAATTTAATAATAATAACAAGAAAATGTGTATAAATAAAGTGTAGCCTACATTGTGATTTTTAAGACAATGTTGAACTTGCATTGTCTTTATTTTTAACTTACACAACATTTCGGACAGTTGTGTCACTACCCGTTATGACGTGTAAACTCATGATCGGAATCGTTTTCGTCACCGAAGCCATCGGAACCGTTTTTCATCACCCTAATCATAATCGTTCCCTTACAGTCACGATCATCGTCGTCATGGTTATAGTCGTAATCGTTATTGTAATGGTCGTCTTCGGAATCGTTTTCGTCATCGTCGTCGTCGTCATCTTCGTTTTAGTCATCGCCATCATAATCGTAATCGATTCCATCAAAGTTATCGTCATCATAGTAATTGTTTCGTCATCGTCATCGTTTTCGTCAGCGCTGTCATCATTCATCGTCTTCTTAAATGTTATCGTCATCGCTATCGACGGAATCGTTTTCGTTACTGCAATTATCGCCTTCGTCATCGTCATCGTCACGATTATTATTATTATTACACCAACCTGGGTCCACGGCCGTCGATAACATTTGATGTATAGTGCGTGAAGATGATTGGTTATGGCAAATAAAAAGAGAGAGATTTGTTCTGGAAGCGTTTTCGTCACCGAAGCCATCGGAATCGTTTTCCATCACCCTAAACATAATCGTTCCCTTACAGTCACGATCATCGTCGTCATTCTTCGTCTTCGTAATGGCCATGGTCAGAGTCGTAATCGTTATTGTACTGGTCATCTTCGGAATCCTTTTTCGTCATCGTCGTCGTCGTCATCTTCGTTTTAGTCATCGTCATCATAATCGTAATCGATTCCATCAAAGTTATCGTCATCATCGTAATTGTTTCGTCATCGTCATCGTTTTCGTCAGCGCTGTCGTCATTCATCGTCTTCTTAAATGTTATCGTCATCGCTATCGACGGAATCGTTTTCGTTACTGCAATTATCGCCTTCGTCATCGTCATCGTCACGATTATTATTATTATTACACCAACCTGGGTCCACGGCCGTCGATAACATTTGATGTATAGTGCGTGAAGATGATTGGTTATGGAAAATAAAAAGAGAGAGATTTGTTCTGGAAGCGTTTTCGTCACCGAAGCCACCGGAATCGTTTTTCATCACCCTAATCATAATCGTTCCCTTACAGTCACGATCATCGTCGTCATTCTTCGTCTTCGTAATGGCCATGGTCATAGTCGTAATCGTTATTGTAATGGTCATCTTCGGAATCCTTTTTCGTCATCGTCGTCGTCGTCATCTTCGTTTTAGTCATCGTCATCATAATCGTAATCGATTTCATCTTCGTAACTGTTTCGTCATCGTCACAATAATCGTCATCGTTTTCGTCAGCGCCATCGTCATTCGTCGTCTTCTTAATTGTAATCGTCATCGCTATCGACGGAATCGTCATCGTCACGAATATTATTATTATTATTACACCAACCTGGGTCCACGACCGTCGATAACATTTGATGTATAGTGCGTGAAGATGATTGGTTATGGCAAATAAAAAGAGAGAGATTTGTTCTGTGGATTCCAGGTCCAGAGTCAGTGTCATTTAGAAGACAAGAGGCAACTCTCGGCGGTACTGTCAGAGACGCAGAGGAATTTGAGTGAGGCAGAGAGACGCGGTTTAAATTTGGAAAATGAAATCGACGAGTTGAAAAAGTTGAGATCCGAGGAGGTATGTACGTTTTTATAGCTTCGGAATAACATTGTACTTCTATTACAAGATGATCCATCAATTGTCCCGCCTAAATTAACAGCAGACGACGCCAAAAAACCAAATATCCGGGTTTCTTTCGTAATACGAGTCCTAATAATTGGTTGTTAAAAGTTACAATGCTGCGTGGTCCGTTGCCAAAGATGGCGAGGGTGAATTTTCTAATTTTAATAAAAGTTTTGTTTTCGTTAGTACACCTTGAGACGCAAAAATAATGAAATAAGTTCCCCGATTAGTGACAATCGTGATAAATTAAAAAAACTCATACAAAATAGAATATTAGGCGAAATATCACCCAAAGGACGCTTGTAAACTTTTTATACAAGCAATTTATTTAATCAAGGAACATTCCCATAAAAAGTCGTTGTGATTATCAAAAAATAATAATTAATAAATAAAAAAAAATAATGACATTAAGGATAAGCCATTTAAAAAATCCACTGGTAATTTGTTGATTGATTTTTAGAAGGTTTACATGAAAAAGATCTTTCAAACAATGTCGAATTGAGAGTAGCAACCGTATTTTTGGAAGTTTTGGAAATAAAATTGAGAAGTAGGTAGTTTCTGTTGGCGTATCGCCTAACGTTATATGAACTATAAAAACTAATCCTACGGGCAATCTATCGTTAATAAAATTGTCTGGTATGATGGTGAAACGTAAAGATCTGTCTCAGATTTTTTTTGGTAGGACAATTGAGACGATGTTTGCGCTCCGCTCCTTTAGCTCCGCCCCCCCTCATTCAGTATATAAGCAGGTACAAAATAACAATGCAGTTTCATTTAAGCCCTGAAAAAAAATAATCGGTGAAACAACCTCACAAAATGAATCTGGAAAATTTGTAAAAAGAATATGATTTCATTCCCATAACATCCTGTAGAATGATAGTAGAAAGTTGCCAGTTCGAGATAGTGAATCGATTTAAATTGTCCCCATTACAACTGTAACAATCCTTGTGCAAACAACCGAATTTTTCCCGCAGTATCTCATTTTTATCTGCATCTGATAACGGTGTTTGATATATTAATATTTTTATTGATACTGACTTTTTGTAACTAAACAAACATGAGTAACATCAGTCTCCTTCGTATATATCGGCAAGCGAAATTCGTATTTACGCCCCGTAGACGGTTTTTTAATTATTTGTTTTTTTTTTTTTTTTTTTGAGGCTCACATCAGTCTCCCTTGCCTGATTTCAGAACGACGAATGGGAAAAGTTCCAAAACGATCTGCTCACGTCGGTCCGCGTGGCGAACGATTTTAAAACCGAAGCCCAACAAGAGCTGCAGAAAATCATATTGGAGAACAAGACCTACAGGGAGAGAGTCAGACTGTTGGAGAACCAAGTGGAAAAGTTCAAGTGTAAGTTTTACCCGTAGAAAAAAACATGTCCGTGGGTCTTGGTGATGGGAGGTCGATGTCGGTGGCGGTGTGGTATCTTAACCCGTTATGTAAAAAAGAAACGTGTGCCCAATTTTCGGTACCCTTGCGTTGTATCTCTCTCGTTATTTTTATTAGACGGAAAAAAGTGACCAATATTTTTGACAGCCTGCTGAGTTAAAGTTATGGGTTAGGAATTGTTATTGATTTTTTTCCGTAGAATTCGGTTTTTCAAAAACTTTCAGGGCGTTTCAAAACAAATGCGAAAATGTACAGGGTAGTTTGTTATATAAAGTGATTAATATATATTATTAGATTAAATTCAACAGTACTTAGCCAAAATAGAAAAGAAGTAAAGAAGAGAACCTCAGGGAACATACATCGGAGAATGGGAGCGATAAGAAAAGCTATAATACAAAAAAAAAAGATAAATAGAAAAAGGAAGTACAGAATATTCTTTCGCAACCAAGAATCTTACTCTAACAGCGTAAATAAAACACTGAGGTGCTCCAAACGTATTTGAATTCCGAATGCGGGTTGTCTTCAGCTACTTGCCTGTTGTGAAAGTTTTCAGTTGCCTTTGAGAGAAACTAGCTTCTTACGAAAAGAGGATTTTTGAAAAAAAAAGAGTCATCAAAAGTCCAAAAATCATCTTGGTAAAAGACCTCGAAGGCTCAGTATATGGCATCGATATCTTCTATACGGTCGATGCATTAGTACTGCTGCTGCTGTCTTGTTAATTATCTCTGGTTGCCTTAAAATATATTTAGTCTGGGTTCAGTGATTTAGATTGACAACTAGAGCGCCTAATGTCTGTTTCTGTCTATACTAATATCCGACAATCTTAATCGCCAATGGCAATGTTCGCGCCCCTCCTTGAACCCCGTCCCCCTCAATCGTGTATAAGCCGGTACAGGTGAGAATTCAAAGCAGTTCCGATTAAACCCTGAAGAAGGCAACAGGCAATATTCTTCTTGAAAATAATATAAAGCAACTAAAAAATTTACACAATACGCAACACCCGAGGCAGCTTTCAATTCGCGACAATTCGCGAAATTGAAAATTTTAAATCGGTCAACTAGTAATAATATACGGGGTGTTCCGTGTGGAACAGGCGTGAACCGTAACCGAAAACAATTTTAGAAGGCATGTATAAAAATAACGGAGATACGACTAACCGTAAATTCGTCTGCGTCAACTAAAATTCGTTGCGAAACGCTTGTGTGCGAAGTTCAGTGTCAAATTGGTGTCGAACCGTTCCGATATTACAATACTGTGTATTTTCTTCCGTCAAATAGGTGCGTATACGACGACCGCGTGCCAAACTGAATGCATACTGACGCCTCAGTTGCTGTCGTACGCCAAAAACTCGGAATTTCCTCGTCCGCCGGACACGATGGACAAACTTTTTTCCGTATCGGGCAGGGAAAGGCGCGGCAAAGTAAATTCCGCGGGCGTCAAGGCTCGGAAGAGTAAAGAGAGCGTCGAATCGGAAAGTCTGTTTTCGCGGTTCGCGAAAAGGCGCGAAAAGAAACCGAATCCGATCGGTCGCAGGTTCATGTCCGTCGAGGAAGAGATGTTGCTCAAATCTCTGGACGATTGGTACGCGAATATCGATAGCGCCGTGCCCGACGAGCGTTTATCGAAGGAAGATCGAGCGGTGAAGCGACTCAAAGCTTTGTACGAGGACGATTCCCTCAGGAACAAGCCCGTCGCGAAGAAACCCAAAGAACAGCTGGCCATAAGCAAGCCGCTGCTCGATTCGGTGGTGCGCGACCCCACGCTGGGCGTGATCGTCAGAAATCCCAGGGTCAGAAGCATCGAGCAGACCCCGAGGGTGAGCGCGTTGGAGGATTCTCGAATCGTAGCCACCGACAGCGAAATCGATGGTAAACCGAGACGACCCAGGTTAAAAAGCGAAGAGACGGTCTCAAAAACGGAGCAGCATTTTCACAAGAGCAGAAGCTTGGACGATTTGAAGTTGTTTGAAGAAAACGCGCTTTTCAGAAGCGCGGAGACGGAAAATTTGGCCGACCCGGCGGACGTGCAGCCCTACGATTCGGTGTCCAATGCGAGAGGCTCGACCGGCACGCTGCCGAAACCGAAAATCGACATAAACTTTGAAAATTTGGACGAGATAATCGCGACGATCCCGAAGGACGCTTCCGAAATGAGCGAGGAGCAAAAATTCGCGCTGAAACTGAAGACCGCGTTGAACGACGCCGAGCGGAAAACCACCCTGAAAAAGAAGCGGGTGACCAATGTGGAAATCAGCGAACCGACGAGGGAATCGGTCGAGAAGAACCGGAAATTGAAGGCGATCATGATGGACCCTAGAATACCGGCGGCGAGCGATAAGGTTCGAAGGCACAGCACGGACGCGAAACACGCGCAAAGGATCGACGGAAGGAAAACGACGTCCGCCAGCAAGTCCTGCGAAGACATTTCGTTTTCTTTCGTTCCGAATAAAATTCCGTGCGACGAGGATCTGTTGTATAACGAAACTTTAAACAAAAAAGTGGGTTCCAAAATAACTATAGCCGGATCGGACGAGGAAGAGAAAGATCCGAGGATTTTGGAGACGCGGGAAAAGTACCAAAAAGATTTGAAGGTGATGCTGAAAACGATCCGCGACGAAGAGCAGAGAAAGAGAGCTTTGCAACCATCGTACGCCATTTCCACGGAAGAAATACCGTACCAAAATGTTACTCTGGATAGTGTTCAGTCGGATACGCAAAAGTTTTTGCTCGAGGATGCTTCCGACGTACCTAATTTACAATCGCAGCCTGATACCGACGGTGATATTAGACCTCCTCCGAAAGATCAGGATGAATTTCGATTGGTATTAGGTTCCGGAGAGGCAGGGTTCCTAGATGCAGCGAATGAACTGGTAAAATTAAAGAATTCGGTTGGATTTATGGAGGAAAATGTCGAACGCGATGACGGAGGAATCGGAAATTCGTTTGGATCGCGACACTGGACTTTGTATCAAGCAACGTCGACTAATACTTCTGCTGCAGATATTGCATTGCAAAAGGGAGATCAACGTGGCTTGGACCTCGCATCCGTTTACAAAAATGAAGTGGAGAACAACGGGGAACGAACACGGATCGTTCCGAATGACTTCATCCGTGAATCCAACATTTCATTTTACGTAGAAGATGAAAATAACTTGGCGAAGAGACACGCTGAAACGTCTTGCAACGAAGATCTATTGTATAACGAGACCTTAAACAAAAAAGTCAGGATCCGAGACGGGGAACGTTTCTGCGCAGAGCCTCAGAGCCTTGCCAACCTTACAATAACTTCTGGAAATGGTAAAAGAGACGTAACGGAATCGAATATGTTGAATTCGCTCGACGGTCAGCAAAATAATATTTCAATGATCTCCGGGCAGTCCCGCAACGAAATTTATTGTGACTCGTCCGAGGCTTCTGAGCAGACAAATGAAACACTTCCTCCGTTCAGAAGTTTAGAAGCTTCGTATACGCTTCAGCTTGCAACATCTAATTTACAACGTCATTCGAAGGAAAATTTCTCCAAACAGGATGATGAAACGATGAACGAGCTAGTAAAACCTGAGAATGCTGTTGGGTTTATGGAGGGAAGTGTCGAACGCGATAACGGTGGAATCGGAAATTCGTTTGGATCGCGACATAAGACTTTGTATGATGAAGTTCAGCTTTCAGTCGCGGAAAATATCAAGTTTCCTCAAGCAACTCCGACCAATATTCCTGCTGCATTGGGGTCGCCTTTGAATCTTGACGAAAACGACGTGGAGAACGGCAAATCTGGCACAATCGGTACACAAAGTCCGGAACCGACCGATAGAAGGAAAACCCCAACTACCAAGTCCTACGAGGATATAACGTTTTCTTTCGTTCCGAATTATTCCATCCATGAATCCGACGTTTCATTTTATGTAGAAGATGAAAACAATTTGGCAAAGAGCACCGCTGAAACGTCTTGCAAGGAAGATCTATTGCATAACGAGACGTATAACAAAAAATTAAATGTTCGAGACGAAGAAAGTTTCCGTGTAAAGCCTCAGAGCCTGGGTAACTTTCCAATAGTGTCCGAAAGTCATAACGAAGACGTATTGAAATCGAATATTTTGAGTTCGCTCGACGGTCACCATAATAGCATTTCGATCATCTCGAAGCAGTCACGCGACGAAATTTATTCTGACGCTTCTGACCCGCCAAATAAAACACTTTCTGCGTTGAGAAGTTTAGAAGCTTCGAATTCGTTCCAGCTTGCAACATCTAATTTTCAACCTCGTTCGAATGAAAGATTCTCTGAAGTGGACGTGGATGGTTCTACATTCGTCGTAGCTCAACAGAATGATGATAATAACGATGCAATGAATGAGCTAGTAAAATCTGAGAATACCGTTCAATTTATGGAAGCAAGTGTCGAACATGATGTCGGCGCATTGATGCATGATGAAAGTGCGCATTCAATTGCGGAAAACATCAATACTCCTGTAGATATTGCGTATACTTACGAAGACATTGAAAAAGAAAATCAATACGGCGTGGTGTCGCCTTTGGACCTTAGATTCGTTTACAAAAACGTCGTAACGGAGATTAAGAAGAAATTCCCGTCAGGTGAGTCAGAAGTGCGGCAAACGGACGATGAGAAATTAGACGGCGATTTTAAGCGCCCCGGGATATCGCAAATCGATCGCGAAATGGAAGAAATATTAGAAAAGTACTTGCACACGAGAGCGTCGCTTATTGTCAAAACAACAGGGACTTACGATCCCGATAACATCAAAGATATAGAATTGAAGACAAGAGAAATGAGCCAAAAATATATTCAGGAAAAGGACGAAGGGTACTCTAACGTATCGGTAGCGGTCGCGGCTGAAACAGCGAAGGATGACAAATTGATGCACCTCACGGACGAGGAATTGGCGCTAATAAGGTCCGTCCAAGAAGACCGATATTCCAGGCCATTGTCAGACTTTAACGAGGAAGATTTGTTGTTGATCGATGAAATTTCAAAGAGATACCCCAGCAGCAGGAATTCTGTCGAGTACAGTAGTAGCAGTAATGCGAGTTGCGTGAAAGATATCGCTTTAACCGATTGCGCCGATTGTCCTAGTGCACCATCGTCGTCATCAATTGAAGCAGTTACGGTTGACGAAACTAACGATTCTTCAATGCGAAGCGCCAGGGAAGGTAAAGATCACTCCGATGGCAGAGGAAAAGATGAGGAAAAGTCTCTTCGTTCTCAGGATATAAACGAGATTCGAAGTGATATCGATGATACCAAGAGTCCGTTAATAGGGAATAAAGTGAATTTACCGCCACAGCCTGAAGCTAACGTCCACGTTCCGGCATCGGAAGAACCCGTAGTCGCGAAAGTTTTGCCTAGATCTCTAATACCAAGACCGACGCATAGGGAGAAGTTCGAAACCAAAAGTTTAGATGACGGTTTAAACTACGAGCCGGTATACGCGAACGCGATGCCTTTTTCCGAGAAATCAGCGGGCGGAATTCGGACGAGTCGGGATAAAACGGGAAAACGGCCGTTGCCGCCGCCTAGGCGCTCGTTCCAATCGAAACGTAACGATCGCGAAATTTTACCGAAAAACGTCAACATTTGGCACGAAACCGTCAGCGTTGTCAAAATGACGGACGCCGATCGAAATTTCAGTGACGAGGTCCGAGAAAACGCGGAAACGACGACGGAAAAGGGTCAAATCTTTCGCGCCTCGGTCGTTTTCGTCAAAGACGACGTCAAAGACATCTCGTCCGACGAAGCGTCCAGTTCATCGGGCGTCACGCGGTCGGCCGAGTCCGTCGCGGTGCGCAGCAAAATCGAGCGAATCGACATTACGCGCAGTAACGACGAAATCGAGGAAGTTCCGCGGGCGAGCAGTTCGGCCAACCTGTCCGACATCAACCTATTCAAAATGGAAGAATCCGAATCCGGTTGCGACTCGTATTTGGAGTTATTCAAGAGCAGGGAGCAAAAAAGGTTCGAGGACCTAAAAGGCAGAAAGAGTCCGAAGGAGAACGTGCTGGTGCTCGCCCGCTCGGAGGACGACGGGAACGAAGAGACGGATGACGGGCCGAAGATTGTAAACTTCGTCCCTTTAGACGACGAAACCCACCCGTATTTCACCAACGATTTAGTGAGTACTAGCAGCACGTTGGAACGGGAGAGGACCTACCACGTGTTAAACCGCGCCGCCATGTTGTCCGAGCTGGACGAACAGGAACACGTGTCGTTGGAAGCTGGGAGCCGGAGCAGCTTTTCCCAAGCGAAGAAGTTATTCGAGGCCCTCGCGGAAGCTAACAAAGAGGAGGGCATCTCCAGGAGGTCTTCGAAAAGATCTATCGGACGTGCCACGAAAATTGAGGAGGGCGCGTTATCGCAGATCGCCGACGAGGAGACGTGGTAACGCTGTCAATAAATTAAGTATCGTCGATGTAAATGAAATTTTATTCGATATTGTTAATAAATGCGTATTCACGGAAGCGTCTGTTTACTTTAGAGAACATTCATCCGCACCATAAGTTGATGAATTGCCTAACTGCAATTCATCAACTTATTAACTATTTACACTGTTGACTTCTTCAGAGAGCGCATTCTACTCTTTTACTGCGCATATACTATTCGAGGAGGGCGGAGCCAAAAGATTTTTATCTTTTATCGAATGATCAACAGCTAACCTAATATCAGAAAATGTCAAATTTGCGAATTGAGTGCATAAAATTCTGAAAATGTAATGTCCGTATATTTCAAACGCATGGCACGTCATGTGAAATAGTTCGATTTTCTAACAGATTTATTCTTTGCGTGTCGGTTAAGACGTCTGACTAGAAATCGAATTCTGTATGGCAGCGTAGGTTCGAATCCTACTTACTGCAAACGACCATTGTTTTGCTTTGAATATATATTTTTTTAATTAGCAGCTCAGCGAAGAAATTTTTGTCAAATATGGGGAATGTGTGCATACATTTATAACAATATAATGCCCTTATATTTCAAATGCATGGCACATCACCAGAAATAGTTCGACTTTCAAACAAATTTAGTCTTGGCCTGTCGGTTAAGACGTCTGACTAGAAATCGGATTCTCTATAGCAGCATAGTTTCGAAACCTACCTACTGCAAACGACCTTTGTTTTGCTTGAAATATATATTTTTTTAATTAACAGCTCAGTCCAGAAAATTTTGTCAAATATGGGACTTGAGTGCATAAATTTATCAAATATGATCAAATTTCACACAACCTTAACATTTCACAAAGGTTTCTAAATAATTTTACGGATTTTAACTACTTTGAAAAATAACTTTTATATAGTAAAAAATAAGCTTCAAATCTCTTTTCAAGAAGAGGCAAAGAATATTATCAGTGATGCTAAATTGTTAAAACGGGTTTAAAAATGATATTTTCGATATCTTTTTACAATGTTTTTCTTTCCACAGTCAGTGTGGTAACCATAGAACAAAAACTGATTTAATGCAGAAAGGACGTCATAATTCACAAATAGTAGATTGCTCAAAAACCAACAAACTCCAAGGGACCCTTCCAACCAAATTCTCCAAATATTTGATTTTGCATTATTTTTCAAAATTTTTACTCTTAAAAAATTTAAATTCGTGTTCACAAGGCCCTAGAAAAAAAGATATTTTCTTAAAAACTGTTTACGCTTCCGAAACAAATATTGGACGAAAAGATCCGCGAGATTCAGTACTATAAACTTTTATTCTTGATAATTTTGGAAAATGTGAGGGGTGTGCCCGGTATTCGCAAAAAAAAACCTGAAAATTATGTTTCCCCTGGAATTAAAATTTGCTGTAATTTTTTATTATGTATTCATATATATATATATATATATATATATATATATATATATATATATATATATATATATATATATATATATATATATATATATATATATATATATATATATATATATGATGACACTATATTCCGGGATATCATCCGTTCGCTCGTTGAACTCCGACTGGAATCCTGCAAATCCTGCATCCGACTGGAATCCTGCAGACGTTTCGCCAAAATCTCACTTGGCATTTTGGCGAAACGTCTGCAGGATTCCAGTCGGATGCAGGATTTGCAGGATTCCAGTCGGAGTTCAACGAGCGAACGGATGATATCCCGGAATATAGTGTCATCACATTTTCCATCCGTGAATCAATACGTGAGAATATATATATATATATATATATATATATATATATATATATATATATATATATATATATATATATATATATATATATATATATTCTCACGTATTGATTCACGGATGGAAAAATATGATGACACTATATTCCGGGATATCATCCGTTCGCTCGTTGAACTCCGACTGGAATCCTGCAGACGTTTCGCCAAAATCTCACTTGGCATCTTCAATGCTCGCGCTCCGAAAACACTTCGAACACTGGGCGAACAACGAGCGAACGGATGATATCCCGGAATATAGTGTCATCATATATATATATATATATATATATATATATATATATATATATATATATATATATATATATATATATATATATATATATATATATATATATATATATAAATTATGTTTCAGTTGTCAATTTATTTTACAGTTTACGGCTAAAACTTTTATATTTAAGATTTTCACTTATATATATATATATATATATATATATATATATATATATATATATATATATATATATATATATATATATATATATATATATAATTATGTTTCAGTTGTCAATTTATTTTACAGTTTACGGCTAAAACTTTTATATTTAAGATTTTCACTTATTGTACAGAGTGTTCCCGATAGTCCACAGTGTGTTAAGAAATGTATTAAGTGTCTCAAATTTGCAGCTATCGACTTCAGATGTGGCAGTGAAGTGAAGAAGAAGCAGTAAGTTGTAAAGACATGTTTCTTTTATTTTTACTTTGCAGCTACGCAGGAGCAAGTGTCAATAAGGCCTACCAGTTTTCCCGGCGAAGAGTTGAGCCTGCGAAGGAAGAACCCGGCCTTGAGTAGACAAAACAGCAGGCAATCGGTTAAATCGTTGATCGAATCGATCGAAAGCCAAGCGAAGCCTTTAACGAAAACTGGTAGGTTGCGTCAAACGTCGCTGTCGCATTTGTTTCCGATGAGCACTAATCATTTTTTATTGTATTCGAAGGTATCAATTGATCTATGGCCCAATGGTCTTTATTCAAGTAGTATTGTTGAGAAAATCTCACTTTTCAGCAAATATTTACTAAACGTGTCTAATTAAAAAGTTTGGGCAAACTGAGTAACTCCTGTATGTATTACAGCAACTAAGAAATGACAAAGCATTGTCTTAATAATGCTGATGCTATTTTATAAATTCCATTGATTATAGTTGTGAAAGTGCTCTTACAGATGTAACGACTGGCTTGGTCTGAAATCGTCACTACTAGCAGTGAAGCGTCTTGCAAATTCGTCCTATTTAAAAGACTGAAGAAAAAATCAAGGGAGTGCCTTAGAGTAGTGTTGTAGGCCCTTCTTTACAGTTTTGTGTTCATAATTTTTATGCCTATGACACTCAACTGTCTTTTGTCTTTCTGAAAAATGCCTTAAAATTCTCTAGGGAGATCTCCGTTATGACTTTTGTTAGCAGTTGCGAAAGTTTGCCAGTGCCAGCAAGAAATAAATAAGACGTAATGTATAATTGATGATTAATCAAAAATGTAACTGATCATCAAGTATTAAGAGTAGTGTCTTGAATACTGCCGTTTCCAAACCCATTTTGTAATTGGTCCCGGTGCGGTTCAATTTTAAACAGTGTCATAATACCACGCTCCGTTTTTGAAATCTTCCGGAAGTCTGCTTTCCCTTATAACTTTGTCAAATAGTTCTGTTAGCAATTTTGGTTACCTAGATTTTTCAGGAGTTCTCCCGTTACTTGACCATGACCCGACGGTTTACCTGTAGCGTACCTTCTTCAGCTTCAGCTACTTCTTGCAATTCTATGTTTGGTTTTAGTGCTTCTTCTTCTTCATCAGACCGATTTATTTTTCCTTCCTCGCTTCTGGACATTGCAGGTTCTGCAATCATTGAATTTTCCATTCGTTTTGTTACCAATCCTGTTTTCATTTTACTTCCGTTTTGATTCAACCTCGATGTTTGCTTTCGATTGCCACTTAATTTTGTTGTAGATTTCTTGAAATTTTGAGAACGTCCGTTTGAAGTTTTTTTTTTGCATCATAGCTCTGTTTTTTTAAAATGTTTTCTATATTTGTTAACGAACGGTAAACGTTGCGGTTGAACAGTTTCGATTTATGTGAGATGTCCGGCTTTCTTAGCAATTTTTTATTATTAAGCTAGGACGTTTTCCGCGGTTTCGTTTTCAGCGTTTACGAGCGTAAGTCCCAGCAGTTCCGCGTCGTCGATCAACTCGTTGACTTCAGATGTTAAAATGCCGACGCCCTCGCCTGGCAGCCCGCTGAGGACGCCCTCCGATTGGCCGGATATCTCGGGAAGTAATCCGAGTCAGACGAAGACGCCTCTCAAGGAGCAACAGGCCAACAAGATCAACAGGCATTGGGGGAAGAATGTTATATCTGGTAATTGATTTTGTAGAAAATTTCCGGATTTTCCAGCCGGGAAAAGATACAAAGAAGCTCTTACACGGTTTTAAAGTAACCGCAACAACGAAAAAAGACCGGTCGAGCGTTTTTAGAGGAAAATATTTCACGTTTCCAGATCAGTTGTCTAACCAGGACTTGATCAAAACGAAACAGGACGACGCCACGTACCGGGAAAGCATTCTGCAAAAGAGCATCGAGTTTTCCAGACGGAACAGTTACTCTGATCTAAGTACGGCCCCGTAGCTAGCGTAGAAACACCGTCGAATATGCTCAATTTTCTCTCATCGCAGGCGAAAGGAAGGACCCGCTGAACGGACTGGTGAAAAACGGGGGCTCGAAACGGAACGCCCTGTTGAAGTGGTGCCAGAACAAAACCGTCGGCTACCGGAACATCGACATAACGAACTTCAGCAGCAGCTGGAACGACGGCCTCGCCCTCTGCGCCCTCCTGCACACCTACCTGCCCGACAGGATTCCCTACGATTCCCTCACGCCGCAGGAGAAACGCAGGAATTTTTCGCTGGCGTTTGCCGCGGCCGAAACCGTCGGAATACCAACGACCTTGGTGATTATGTATTTTCATTATCAAAATTTAATTCCTCTACATTTTCTTGCCAAAGAACACCTGCTGAATATCAAATATAATAAATTCTTGTATTCGAGGCGACAGTATCTTTCCTAATTCATGGAAAATTTCCAATATTTTACCAACTGAAAAGATTTTAAATTTTGAAATGAAAGAACGCATAATATTTTGCCTCAGTTGCGTCATTGAGTAGCTATCGCAATCACAATGATAATCGACTTTGGTTTGTGGAGACGCATACGTTTGGCGTGCCTCAAGGTTCAAACCTGGGACCGCTTTGGTTCTGTATTTATACTTGCAACATAATTAACTCCAAAAATAGTGTTGACTTCGCCCAAAATAAATTAAACGACCGTCTCACCATTTGTCTAAATAGACTTACTTTCGATTCAACTTTAACGCGTAAGCCAAAAAAAAAAGCATTTTGCGCTTAGACCAAAATAGCGTGAAAAAGTAATACCAAAACACTTTACAACATTTAGATCCAGAGCATTTCTTCTCGGCACCACAAACTGACTTAAGGTCCCCCCGAAGAACCTAAGCATATAAGCCCATGACCATGACTGACTTTGTGGAATGCCTTTCAACTGCCTTTTTAGACACTGTCCCCTTGTTTAGACTTCTTGAAAGCACTCAACAGATCCTGCTGAGTGCACGTAATTTTTTTACAACCCCTGGAACAACATTGACAGAATAGCTTATCAAAAAATTAGAAAATGACGGATTGCATACAAATACATTCACTGACATTGTAGTCCAACACATGTCGTTAAACGTTAAACTATTTTCTCGATTTTTGGAACCCCAATTAGACGGTCAACTTCAACAACTTGGTAAGAAGTCTTTGATTATGTTTTCAGTCTTCTGGATTGTATCAATCTCACGCGGACCTCTGAAATCTGTTGTATTTCTTGGGTCCATCAACACTCAGCTCGTGAATTTCCTTGTCCATATCAATACTTTTTTTTATTTCTTGGTTCAATGTCAGTAAAATCTTTCAACAAAAAATGGTCTGAGCCACATTTCCTTAACGACCCTCTTGACTTTGACATCCCCATAGAACAAAACGAACCGTTGCACTTTTCAGGACATCAACGATATGGTCCAGCTGGAGCGACCGGACTGGCAACAGGTGATGTCCTATGTGACCGCGGTCTACAAGCACTTCGAGGCTTGAGCGAACGTTCGAAACGCGTTTCGATGTTATTTTGCCTGTGATAACCGCCCGGTGATCAAAACGGTTGTCCCATTTCACGCCCGACCAAAGATTCCTAAATTTCGGATTCGTTTTTGAGTGTTGTTTTATACAGCCACACGAATTGGTGACGTATTTTTTGTATGAATATATTATATATCGATCTAGTCAAGATAAGCGTTTTCCGGAGTTTCGTAAGCGACAGCTGCGTGCGGAGCATTTTATATTTTTTATAATTAGCTAAGTAGTTTTTTTTTGTAATATTCTGAAGACTGTAATAACTTAATGAAGATATTATATTGCTATATAGGTCTCTTAATTAGGGGCGGATTCGCCATCAGCTTGCGTTAACGAGATATTCATACCTATTCTGTCTCCAGTTAGCAATCGTGGTTATTGCTAACTTAAAGAATTTGTACTTTTTACAAGCCTTCTGGATTCCTCCTGCGTCGAACTTGCTGACGTTTCGCCAATCATCCTGTTGGCTTCTTCAGAGCTTGACTGAAACTGGAGTCAACAGGATGATTGGCGAAACGTCAGCAAGTTCGACGCAGGAGGAATCCAGAAGTTTTGTAAAAAGTGTTACAGCAGTAACACACAATAACGCGTTTTACCACAAACCGAAACTCAATTTTACGTACTTGACGCGCGTTTCGCCAACCAAGTTGGCATCTTCAGGAAAAGATTAAAACTAAACTTAATAGAACAAAGGCTCTATATATATATATATATATATATATATATATATATATATATATATATATATATATATATATATATATATATATATATATATATATATATATATATATATATATATATAAGCATCGGGAAGTGGGAGGGGGAATTACGCACTGTTCACGCAACCAATCAGCGCGTATAATGGGCTAAATGGGATTGAATGTCCTTGTTCAGTGCCTTATTCCCTCTCTTAACAATTTCTAAGCTTTCGTAGGCAGATGCCTACGAAAGCTTAAGAGGGAATAAGGCACTGAACAAGGACAGAACTCCAATCCGATTTAGCCCATTATACGCGCTGATTGGTTGCGTGAACAGTGCCTAATCCCCTCTCCCACTTCCCGATGTGTATATATAGAGAACATTTGTTATATTAAGTTTATTTTTAATCTTCTCCTAGAGATGCCAACTTGGTTGGCGAAACGCGCGTCGAGTACGTAATATTGAGTTTCGGTTTGTGGTAAAACGCGTTATTGTGTGTTAGTGCAGTGCCGAAGGTTCCAGAAGTTTCTTTGAAAAATTAAAGAATTTGTATTCTGTTTCTCCAACTTTCACCATCTCAAGTACCACAGAACAATGCATTGTTAAATCTGATTCTTAACTTAGCAATCATATCTTTGCGCTTATTTTCGCCACTGGTTTTGAAATTTTCAAAATGGCAACTGTCAAATTCGTGTCTTAGAAGTTACAAAACCATTTTTAGTTTTCACAAAATTACTGTCAACTAGTAAGGAAAATAAGCACAAAAATGTAATTGCTAAGTTAACAATCAGATTTAATAATCCATGTTTTGTGAAATTTGGAGAAACCTTTCTTACCTGGAAAGAATCTTTGCCAACTATGACCATCATTGCTAATGAGAATCAGAGAATAGTACTCGCCGACTGTACTTGTTTTCTATGCAATAATTTAATCGTAGAGTTGCCGAATTTTGTTGCTTATTTCTCGTGTTTTAATTTTGTATTTGTTTTGTGAAAAATAAAGTGTTTAAAGCGAAATTTGAACGTTTTCATTAACAATTCCATTGATCGTGAAACAAAAAAATTCACTGGAGCATTTGTATTGCTTAAATTACAATTCATTGATACCTATGAGATACGAAATGTCAAGCTACTTAAGAGGTTAAATTTGGAATGGTTGCGTTGTTTCATGTGCAAGAGGGGTTAACCAGAACAATAAAGTTTTAATTGGAAAATGTATAATACATTTATTTCTTTTAATGAATAATTATTGAGTTTTCGGGTCTAAACGAATGGCGATCAGTCCGTCAGCGAGGTCACGCGGTTCGCATCTGAAACTAAAAAAAATAACCTGAGTACTAAAGATTATTAAGATTCCTAAAACAAACTTAACATTACTTAAAATCACCCGAAAACACAACAGATATAATAAATAAAATCGGGACTGAGTTTAAGTTGGTACTACGGGCAGTACTACCACCTATTTCAATCACTTGTAAGGATAATCAAATCAAAACAACCTAATGAAGCTGAATCGAATTTAATCCTCTCGGTTCGACAATTACGTCTTAACTAAACTTATCGTAAACCCAAAAACCATCGCATTATAAGACCCTAATTATATCTCCTCACCGCAACTTGCCCTCTCTGTCTTTTTTGCCTGAGACGCCGATACATTTAACAGTCGGCAAAAGAACTATTTGTTACGGGGGTCTTGTCGGATATGACGTAATACTATAAATATTCTAACACACTAGTGCTGATTATTCCGATCGTGCAATGGATACTAAGGGCAGAGACACGCGAAGTATCCTGTCGCAAATAACCACACCGGCACTGAAAGACAGCAACACGCGACAGTGCAATAAACAAGTCAGGCCATAATATTCTGAATTGCAGAGACACTCGACAGTAGCCCCGACTTTCAATCAACAAAGTAACGTTTAAAATAGTTCACATACTAATATTTAACCAAATTCCTTGGTCATATTCTATAAATTAAAAATGAAACCGACCAATAAATCATTTGGTACTTTGGTATTTTGACAAACAAACCGAAACAATCATGAAATTCAAACACTGTACTAGTGAGAACACTCACCTTTAAGTCTTCGCAATTTCACGGAATGCAAACGATAGCCCAACACACTCGGTTAACCGAGAAATGCCGGAAAGATATTTCTTAAAATGTTACTGCACCCCAAAATTATGTTTATTATAAAAGACGAGTCGATATTCTGACAGGGTGAGAGGCGAGAACTGTGCTTTTAAGAAAACATCCGGCTCACAAGGAGTTGCTTATTGCGTCGTACGTACAAAAATTTTATATGGTAGCTTAAAAAAATATACATATGCGTCTTACACGTTTTGCGTTGTTTATGTTGATATTGATTTAAAAAATAGTTATATAATAAATTTTCTCTTCATTACGATAGCGGTTTCTCAACGTCTACGATAATGTCAATTATCGTAAAATCAATATCTAAACAAAATGATTACAAGTAATATCAGTACCGGATTTAATTCCATTTCGTGTGGTACTCCGTAAATTCCATGCCAGTAGTTCTAGATCATTCAAAATGGATTTTGGAATTTCTAATAATCCTCAATACCATAGGCACGGATGAACTCTAGGTCACGGTGATACCATTCCTTGGGAAATTAAAAACTACATATCCTGCCTGTTTCTAATATTAACTCCAAATAACACAAATATTAAATAGAATTTTTATTGTAATTACTAATTTAAACACTAAACACATCAACGATACAGATGATCGGCGTGAATATTAGCTGCTATTTCCGATTCCCACTTATCTCCGTTATTCAACAACTTCTCTTTATTATACAACAGTTCTTCATGCGTTTCAGTGGAGAACTCAAAGTTGGGTCCCTCGACGATAGCGTCGACGGGACAGGCCTCTTGGCAGAACCCGCAATAGATGCACTTGGTCATATCGATATCGTACCGTGTAGTTCTGCGAGAACCGTCGGCTCTTTCCTCAGCTTCAATCGTAATCGCCTATACACCACAAAAAACAAGAATTATGTATTAGTCATCAGGGGACAAAGTTGTATACCTGAGCGGGGCAGATCGCCTCGCATAACTTGCAAGCGATACATCTTTCTTCGCCTGAAGGATATCTTCGGAGAGCGTGTTCTCCCCTAAATCTAGGACTAAGGGGTCCCTTCTCGAATGGATAGTTGATGGTGGCCGGTTCTTTGAAAATATGACCCATCGCTACCCCAAGCCCCCGAAGAATTTCCGTGAGAAATATCGTCTGGGCTGCCCGATCTACAAAACAGTGGGAAGTCAGACTGGAGGGCTTTGGTTTATTAATTTATTGCCACCTGTTATGTCCTTCATATCCATAGACAGCTCTTGATCGTTAACATATATATACCCATCTTTCGGAGCACTACTGCTTTCCGACCGATAGCAACTACCAATAAATGCAGGCCGAACAAATCTTTGAAATATAGGAAATAGTGGTTTAAGAGTCATAGCCATTTTAAGCACGAAGCTTGGTTATGCCCTATTATGTCATCGAATTCAAATGACATATGACGATTATTCTTTTCTTTACGTCCATTGGAGAACTAGTCACGAAATAATGAGCCCAGAGCCACTAACTAGACACCATTAACTAACAACTTTGTTTTAACCGAAAACAGCGGATTTTTGTAATCAACACACAAGGATCCTAGAATCTTTCTTTTCCCTTTCTTTTATTCTACAATCATCCTGTTCGCTTCTTCAAAGCTTGAGCGAAACTGTCAGTTTCATTAGGTTGTGGTAGTTTCTTTGAAAAATATTATTCTCTTGTTTAAACTGCAAAAGTTTGTCAATCTGAAAATATCACATCACAAATAGAAGTGAAAATAATTGGTAAGTGGCAACCGAGAATAGCGAGTTACCCTGATGAATTTGGCCAAACTATGTTTGAAACGGAAAGAGGAAGAAATAGATATTCTGTGGTATTTTCGTTTTTGGTAAACATTTTTTGCCGAACTGTTTTTCCGTTAAATTATTAAGAATACCTATCGAAATTTAGACAGTTATTACACACCATGATTTTTTTGGCGTTATAGTCTATTAATAAAATTAATTTAAAACGCTGAATAGCAGAAAAACAGTTGTATTTGATTCCTAACCTGCGTTAATTTAAGAAAATAATGTCTCGGCACGTGCATAATACTGATACATCGGTACTGGAAAGGCGTCTACGTCCCATTTACGGTACATTAACAGGCCAATAGGTGATCAATTTTATTTACGCGGTACATTTTTTTCAGATTGGCTGGATGCTGGCAACAATAAAAAAGCCTTGCAGGAATGTGAAAAAGTACTAAAAAAGACCCCCAATCTTCATTGTGCGAAAGCTTTGAAAGCGCTGACTCTGCTGCGCATGGGAAAAGAGTCAGAGTCGAATGGGATTTTGGACGCATTAGTTAGCGATAAGCCGACCGATGAAGCCACTTTACAAGCTATGACACTGTGCTATAGGGAAATGCAACAACGTATGCAACATATCCCTTCCTTTTTGGAAACCGTACTGCATTATTTTTTTAGTTGAAAAAGTTTGCAAAATATATGAGAATGCAGTGAAGTTAGAACCTTCGAATGAAGAACTGCATACACACCTATTCATGAGTTATGTCCGGATAAGTGATTTTAAGGCTCAGCAGCATAGCGCGATGGTATTGTACAAACAGAAACCGAAAAATCCTTACTACTGTTGGAATGTTATGAGTATTGTGTTACAGGCAACTCGGGGCGAAGGTAAAATAAACACAAATAAGTTTTGATTCTTTAGTTTTTTTCTTCTTTAGTTTAAATTGAGAAGTAAAATCACACTTGAAAGTTGGGGTACCAGATTTGTGAAACCTGTGACATAATTGTAAAATCATATTTTTCTAAAATTTTGATATTTTTTTTTAACACTTTCCATTAATCTGGTATCTTAAGCAAATTAAACTAAAAAAAATAGCAATATGTCATTTATACTAACCAATTTTGATAACTGACAGTTTGTTGTTGTACATTTTTAAGGTTATAAGTTAAAAGACCTGAGATAAGGTATTAAAAAAGTTGAAAACTATTTACTTTCAGTGCTTTTTTAATTATTATATTTGTTATAAGTCCATATTTATAAATATTAAAATTCCTTAGTAAATGTACGTTCTTTCTATGAAGAAAATTACTTCATTAAAATTGAAGAAAAAAAAAAATAAACCAAATGTTGAACATGGATTTATAATAATATAATCTGTGAAATCTTGTGGTCGCGGGAGAGTTTTAACAATTAAAATTGTGTTGTTGCGTGATTAGGGTTTTTCATATAGATTTTGGAGTAAATACCATTTATTTTAAATGGCACACCCTGAATGTTATGGATTTTTTGAATCGCCGGAGCGAGCAAACGATTAGTTTTGGTTAGATCTTGAAAAAAAAAATTCGTTTTGCTTTGTTTGATAGGTAACTTCCGGTTGAAACGGAAATGACGGGACACTATTTTAAAAAAGAAGCACACGTGGCACTTACCTAAACCCCAAAAATTGAAAGGCGTTTCTAAAGTACATATCAATAAACTTTGGATGAATAAATTTTTGTAATTTTTTTTTGAGATTGATACGCTTATTTATTGTAACTTTTTTACCTGTTGTTCGGTTCAACTCAGTTTATTTAAATAAGTCAAAATTTACATTTTGTGTAGGAATTGTCATAAAAAGGTATAAAAAATACTTAAAGCCAAGACATCTAAAAAAGTGTATATAACACACCACGTTATTATAAAAACTCTTCAACTTGGGTCAGTAAACGTTTAACTATCACTATTGATACAATCAAAGAAATGGATTATTAACGTGCGTCACTTTAGGAGCAAAAGACAAGCAGAAGAGGGACCTACTGTTGACCCTCGCGGAACGAATGATGGAAAAGTTGGTGGACGAGGACAAAATCGACGCAGAACAAGAGGTGGGGGAGAGACGGGTTCGATTTTTTTCCGACATTTTAACAATCCTATCTCCTTCAGGTCGATCTATACATCATGGTGCTAGATTTGCAAAAGAAATACAAAAAAATTATCACCATATTGGATGGTCCTTTAGGGGAAAAACTGCAGTGCGCCAACGTGCCGCAGATGCGGTCGACGTATTTTCAAAAAATGGAAAAATGGTCGACGGTAAATTTGATATCGAAAGGAATTTTAAGCGAAAGGTAATTAACTTTTTGCGCATTTTTACGTTTTTTCTTCAACGTGCAAACTGCTGGCGGAACGAAGTTATTTTTTTGGACATTTTGTTGGATTTTGGGAAAGGTAATTTTGAGGCATGTTAAAATCTAAGAATCTGGAATCAAATCTCATCTTAATTGGAAAACACTTGTCTGAAACATAATTTATTTAAAAAACAAGACTAATAATCAACCATGCTTAAGAGTCACAAAATTATCTCAACCCCAGTGATTGCGGTTGAGATAGAACACCTAACATCTGCTCTTTTGACAAATAATTTCCACATTAGATATATACCTCCCAAAGCAACCCGAAATTCGCCACTGCGGCCCTTCCTTACATTAAAAACACCCAAAGTTTTTGAGAAATATAATATTAAACCCAGATTACCCAAAAACTCTCAACGTCTTCTATAATCTTCCATATGCTTGAATGTTCTGATCTCACAGAAAATCACACCTAACCCAATCATTTCTCTCTACTAATAGATATATTTATCCTTTCGATACACCCCAGCCACCCAAAGAACACTCGTCACTGTGGTCCTTCCTTCTCAAAACATCACTGACCACATATGTGAAGTTCTTAGGAAATATGAACAAAATAAATACAGGATCAAAGTTAATAAAGGAAATAATAAAAACTTTGAAGAAGTGATGTTGAACAATAATATTTTAAAAAGCGATAAGGGAAACCCATCAAACTACACTGCTGGAGATACTATATCCGTAAATTTTACCAAAATCATAGCACAATATCTAAGAACAATAATTTAGCAAGGATTTAGAAATAATAGATCAACAACAGATAGCAGAAGAGTTCATGTATGTATTCGAAAAAATAAGAACTAAAGTACAACTGCTCCATAAAAATTAAAATTAAAGAAATAAAGATAAATACAGGAACAAGGAACAATGTTCAGTTGATGTAACAACGACGTATACCAAGGGACGCCAATAAAGAAAGGAAAACAGGAACCAATGCAGGAGCATTTAGGGTAGAGATATGAAAACGAGAATGTATAAAACATGTATAGATTAATAGTACATCCAAGATATATTGGAATCAACACATGACGTAAAAGAAAAAGACCGCGAAAAAGATGGCAAGACAGTGAGGTGAAATGTAATACATCCTTGCATTTTATAACGTTTAAGATATACATTCAGACAAAGTTTTCTTAAAATAAGCAAAATAAGTTATCCATTTCTCTATTGACACGCTAAAGATTCTGCTGTATATTTTAAGCATCACTTCAGGTATTAGGTAGTATCTTTAATCTTACATGTTTTTTACACAAAGTAATAAATTTGAATGAAGAAAAGTTTCGCAAACTCATTAAGTTATTTTTTAGGCATCCAAACCTAACGAGTTTTAATATTAAGTACAGATTAAGCAGAATTTGTGCATCATTTAATCGTTTAATGAACCTTTTTTAGTTTTGAAGTCTGGGCCACGTGGAAAGTGTATATTCGATCGGTATTTGAAGTCATCGAAAGGGGAGTGGACGTGGAGAGGATCATCGAAGAGTACGTCGACAATACGCCAGAGAGATGTCACGAGTTTATTTGTGCCGCGATAGAAGGCGGGTCTTATAATAGTAAGTGCTCCGCAAAGTTTAGACTTTTTTTTTTTTAACGAGAATTTTAGCGTTCTATTAGTTTAATATTGCGGGCTATTTAAGAATGAAAATTTTTGAAAAAACCAGTTTTGTTTTCAAAGACAAATTAAAAAAAAAGATTGCACCGCATTTTTTTTAACATATATCGGTAAAAACTAAACATGAATGCCAGTTAGCCATTATTGGCAGCATAATAAAATTGCAAACAAATGACTTCATATATTTTCGTGAACAATGGCTATTTTTCACTCACACTTTTTCAAAATAATAATTATGACTTTGATGCTTGGGTCTTCGGCTATCAATTGAGCTGTCTATTTTAATTAGAAGCTCAGTTATGAGCAAAAATTTCCGATATATATATATATATATATATATATATATATATATATATATATATATATATATATATATATATATATATATATATATATATATATATATATATATATATATATATATATATATAACGCATAAACAATATATATTTTACAGTTTCAGTTCTAGAGAATCTTCTATATCTACATAATAGTTTGTATTGCATTTTTGTTTTTTGTTTTTTTACCACCTTTGGCTCGTGGTAATCGCATGAAACATAAGTATCAAAAGGTTATTTTGTTGTTTCATATTTTCCATCATTTGGTTCTATCGCCCTCTAAGGCCTACCAACCAACTATTACTACGTATACATTTAACTCAATTGGTTTTCAAAATTGGTATTGCCGTTTTAAGATTTTGACAGTGGTATCTGTCATAACCGCGTTTTGTGGTCAGTCTTTTTTCACGAGATTCAAAAGAGATCCAAAAATATTAATAATTTTGAAAATACTTACAATAAAACACAATACTTAGATGTATATGTACAATTACTGCTTTTTTTTTATTTAGTATAATTTCGTATTTGTTGCATTTTCTTTTTCGTAAATAAGTTTGCTTCTTGTTATGGAAGTATATATTCCACCTACGCCTGCGGCAAAAAATACAACAAAATTGAGATCTCATACAAAAACGGAGATAATGTTATTATTCAAAAAGGCAAAGATTTGGAATACACAAAAATCACGGCAAACAGTTTGTAAAGCAAATTTTCCCCCTCAGGGTGTTAGTTACTACAAAAAATATTTTGATTTATCTTGTATGTCACTGCCAAAACGGAGACAATTAGCCATTAAAAAAACAAAAAATAATAAAAATGAATTTACCGACAACATTTTGAATTAACCTGTATGGTACTACCCAGAGCAAAGAAAATTAGTTACTTAAGTTAAAAAAAAAACAATTAAAAAAAAAATAGAAAAGTTATAAACCATAAAACTTATCCAAATTTTTATGGTGGTCGAATTTTTTGACGGGCAGTGTATGTATTGATGACCACAGGTTTCGACCTGAGAGGTGCGTATTTGGCGAGGTTCGAACTCTGCTCAAAACTACAAGAGAAAAACAAGAAAATCGAAGACATCTTGGGCGACGTCAACGAACTGTTCATAGAATATTTTCGAAAATTCGGGCACAAGCCGTGCTGCGTGTCCGACCTGAGGATCTATTTGAAGCTACTCACCGACAATCAGAAATACGAGCTGGCGCCGAAATTCGTTCAAGAGGCCGGTATTAGTACCACCGGCATACCGCAATCGGTAAGATCTTCTTTTTCTGAGGTCGACGGGATACATTTTCATGTTCGCGTTAGATGTGGGCGAGTAAATAATGGGCATAATGAGTGTCGTTTTTTTTTAATCACCTTGAAACAAAGTCAAACCGATTCTGTATAGTCGATAATATCGTATTTGTTTAAAAAAATTATATTTAAAAAAATCTTGGTTTTTAATATTTCCACTCTAATATCCAAGTACAATACTCAACAGAACCCGAGTGTTGCAGAATAATAATATGATGGCTTATAAAAAGTATATGGAAAATCGGATGAAATCAAAGACTTCTTTCTGCGTGCTGCATAATGTCTCTACATTATCATCAAATATTTATCAACTGCTTCAATTTCTTCTGGTCCGGTGCGATTTGCTTTGCTTCATTTCAGTTGTCTATTGTTTCCTTAAAAAATTTCCTACATCTCTCTCTTTCTAGGCTTTGCTTTTCTAAGGCCCACAATTTTTGTTTTGCAATTTTAATTATTTTATTATAACAAAGGGCTTATGCTTTCGCCTTGTCCAACCCCTTAAATTGCGCAGTTTCTTGTTCTATACAGACTTTTTGCTACATTAATTAATTAATTTATTGCTAACCTTGGACATTTCCATATTTTTCCTTGTCCATATCTATATGCTTTCTTTTTGCTCTCTATCATGCGTCTAGTAATTTCCTTGATCTTCAATTTCTGAAGCCAGGTACTTCCGAGAGTATAGGTTCTATTTCACGTCTTATCCTTTTTTCTATGATTGTTGCGAATACGTTAATGTACTGACTAAAGTTATGCAATTTCTTTTAGACACTTCGTCTTCTTTATCAGTAAGTTTGTCACTTATTTTCCCTCAGGCTGGGTTACACGAAACAAGTAAGATTCGAAAGGATTGGTTTACGTCTTTATTTGTTCCCCCTATCTAAAAAATCTGGCGCCAAAAGATGTAACGAGCTTAGACCAATAAGCGTACGAGTCAAGCGTTAAAAATCCTGCTTCAAATTTAAGTAGGCAATAGGATAAGGGGGCGGATCTCGGATGTTAGGTTTGATTTTCTATTAATAATATCCAAGAATGGAAGATTATTATTGTTATGTATTAAAAACAATGGAAATATGTTTGCGATCATGCACTCAAAAAGTGAGACTGTACCAACAAATTTGGGGAGTGCCTCAGGGATCTTTACTAGGGCCGCTGCTGTTTTGTTTTAAATCTCTTAATATGACTCAAAAACGACTGTAGTTTTTTTTTTAAGAAACTTCCACAGGCTACTATAATACTATTTATGTAGAGAGTAGGCTAGTTGTCTGTATAATGAGGTTCATTTGTCTCTGGGTAATAATATTGTCTATCAGGAGGAATTTTAATATCTTTAACTGCAAAATAAATAAGAACTAAAAGTTCAGATTTTCACGAAATTATATATTTTGACATGACAATTGTTTCGACAACACGGTGTCTTTATCAAATGTGTTAAAAATGATAAAGACACGGTGTTGTCGAAACAATTGTCATGTCAAAATATATAATTTCGTGAAAATCCGAACTTTTAGTTCTTATTTATTTTGATAAATGGATTTTCATCAAGTAAAAGTCTCCTCAGTTCAATCTTTAACTTCGTTAATAAGTTCGATCAAATTCTTATAACATATCTAGGTTTAAAAGCAATAAGTTTTATTAATCTTGTGGAAAATTCAACTAATGGTGCTGCTGTGCTGTGATGCATCTTGTTTATGTAATTCAAACTAATGAATATAATTTTTGGAGGTTGTGGAGTTCATAATTATTACTTTGTATTTTTCTGTCATTAAAACGAGGTGAATCTGTTTTTACAGTTTTGATTTGTGTTTGAGATAACTCTAACTAAAGAAAAATTTGCAATGGTGTACTTGTAGAAAACTTCAATAAAATACAAGTGCTTCAGAAAAATGCTCTAAATACCCTCTACGATTTGGATTATAGGACTTCTTCTGGTGATGAAGCAATATATATTAGTCTATACATTCATTATACAATATCCATGTAGGTATTGCTAGAACAAACAATGCTGTCTATAATCCCGTAAGTAAAGCTTCATTTATTGATCTTTAAACTCAGTTAAAGCAAAATTAAAAGCTTATTACAACTAAGTTTTGTTTTTTTTTAGGTAAGTTAGAAATATCCAGTGGAAATTATACATAAAAAATACATTTGAAACTATTTTTTTTTAGTGGGACAGAGAAGACAAAGTATCTGTTAAGCCTTATATCTTAAAACCCAAAAAAATCAAAATGAAACATGTCACTAATATAATTCGTTTAATTTGAGATTGTAAAGGTCCCTTGCACTTATCGAAAACTATTTAAATAAGACTAACCTGTGTCTTCTTTGCTGGAACTAACGAATCTTCTTTTTTCCTTGCTAGAATGCATTGTTCCGCAAAGCTTCCGCTTGCGGGAATGACAAAATTGCCACGCTGCAAGTGTTTATAATGATGTATGTTCATGATTATGTAAATATTCTATAAAAAACACTAAGAAAAATTACACAGATATTTTCATCTCGCTTACTAATTTTGAGGGTCATAACGACGGCTAAGCTATTCAAAACTTATAAAGGAAAAAAATAACTCTAGCAACCGGTAACGACTATTTGCAATCTCTCGTTTCACTGCATTAAAATGAAAGTCGTGTTGTGCATAAGCTTACCGCAACGCTCTCTGGCGACAGTGTGCCGCAGTTTGTGTTTCGTAAATTTCCTCGTCTTTTTAAACACAGATGTCACGCGAAAAATGTCGCCTCCGCAAATAATAAAATTAAATGGCATTTCTTCACCGCACACCTTATTAGCGGGCGTATTAATTCTCTCCTATCTTTCATTGAAATTTAAATTGTATATTTTCAAATTCCTAATCTGAGATCGTGTAATTTTGATCCTCGGTCAACTGACCAAAATCACGTCTGTTACGAGATCTATGCAATTAGGTCAAGTTGGTTTACAATTTTCTATTGTAATTTATGGATAGTTTGATTGTTTATGGTGTAAGATTGCAAATAAGAAATTACCGAGCGATGTTTCAAATTAAGGAGTTCTAAAGTGCAGACCTAACGCTGAGTTACATACGCGGACTTGCAGAAAATTCTCCCAGGATGATGTTCTATAAGACGAAGTATTTACAGTTATTCCTCAAATTATGGTCATTCACATGTCAAATGCTCGATATGGCATCTGAAATTGATAAATGTACTCTGAATCTAATATAATCAATGCATGGTTTTGATGAAGTTTTTCTACTAAACTTATTTTACGTGCTTTCTGAGGTAAGTGTGCATTTTTTTTGTCATTTCTTTTATATTGCCTAAAATTTTAGATGGCTTGTATACCATCCAACACTGCTTGTATGTATTTTTTGACGTACACGGTAATTATATTAATTGTTTTAAATTAGGTGTTAGTATTAGTCGTCGCTAAAGAACGTTTGTTTTAAAAAACATTTTGTTTTCAAAAATATGTTTTTATTTAAAAAAAAGTTGTTTAGAAACAACAATTTTTTTAATGCTGTATACAGGGCAGTTTCAAAACGATATTAACATGAACGGAAATAGTTTGTAAACTAGCCAGTTAGTATCTCAACCAACAGCCCATATTTAATTAAAATGTTTATCTTTACCGAAGGAAATCGATAGTTTTTAAACCGTTCACTGATCTATGTGGTATTGTGGGAATTGTCTGGTTCTTCTAAAATAACAAGATTTGCCGTAATTTATGTGCTTTTGACTGTGTACAAATATGGTAAATTTTTTATTTATAAAGATATATATTTTTATATAAAATACGAAAGCGCTGAGAAGCGACCAAACATAAAATATAGGTTTTAGCTTTAGTTAGGCCAGTTTTTGAGGAATAAGTAATATCTGCCTTAAGTAGAATTTCTGAAAAGTAAGTAAGAATGCTGGAAGACATATCAGATTTTTTGAAAAGCGAGTCATGATATCCGAAACACAAGTAACATGAGGTAGAATTTTTTTAAAATAGGCTAGAATTTCTCAAAAGAATAAGTAATAATTTCTAATTATGTATTTCAATCAATGTATAAAAATTCATTCACCATTTTTTTTTACATAGTGATCATTTTCTTCACATGTTTTAAAATAAAAAAAATAATGTTGTTAGTTCAATTGGGTACTTTGATATTGGAGTGGAAATAAAAAAAGTTTAAAAAAAGACATTTTCACAGTTCTGAGGAACGAAGAATGTCTCATTTATTGACCTATTGACAAGTAAGTGGAAAAACTCCACTAACACTTTTAAAGTGGTTTTACTAGCGCCCTACTCGATTTAGCTGTTGCTGAAAAAAAAAAGAATTTGATTTTTTTTTTCTGAGTTTGATTTCTGGAAATTTTTTATCAAGATCGACCAGATGCAGCGTCACATCGGCGCAATCCAACTGTCCAGGCTGTGCGGGGCGCATAAACACCTCTCTGCCGAGCACTCCCGCGCCCTCGTAACCGCCCTAATTTTGCATTATCAACACGGTTACCAGACCTACGGCAAAGGTGGGAAATGATGGGGTAAACCGCAGAGTGAAGAGCGACACGGCGGGCATAGATTAAATTTTTTTTAACCAAAGTGCTGGAAATCATTTTCAAGTTCATATTTATGCCCATAGAGGGCGCTATTTCTATACTCTACCTGCTTATATAGTAGTAGTAGTAGGTGTAAGCTAGACCTTGCCAGTCCTATTACATTTTTTACGTTTTGGAAGTCCATATGTATGTGAAAATAGTCTTCTTTTGGCAAGTGTCTCCTTTGTCTTTGATAGTTGCTTGTCACAGTTAAACGCTAGTAGTCTAGCTTTACAATTAAAATTAGTCTGTACTTGGTAACAGGTAGTGATATGAAGCTTTAAGCTGAAAGAGATTCGTTAAACATTGTAAAAGTAAAAAAAAAGTTGTTTGTAAATCAAATTTGCTGACCTCTCGCCGTTAGTATTACAGCGGTTTCTGGCAGCAGTGTTTCTTTGAAAAAAAAAAAAAGAATAAATTCAATCAATGAGACTCTTCCTATCCACCCTTATTTGATCTCCACAATTAATAGTGATGCAGACTTTGATAGGGATTAGAGCGTAGCTATAACGTGCCCTAGCGGCAAATATATGTACTTGAAGATTATTTCCCGCATCTCTACAATTCGTGGTTTCTGAGATACAGCCGCATACGTCGTTTATTTTGCTCACTCTATACAGTGTGTCCCGTTTTTGATGGTCTAACGAACCAAACTGATTTTTTTTTAAATTCAGATGAAACGTGGCACGAACGGAAATGGCCACCATCGTGGATTTTTAGATGCAGGGTGATTTTGAAAATTTTGCAATTTTTAGAGACCTTTTGGGCTCCGTTGCGCGTTAATTTATTGAAAAAGTTGATTTAGATAGGGTTTTTACGTGGGATTCAGTGGCGTAGTTGGTTTTCTCCTGAAATTCGCAAACCCTGATATGTAACTTTTATTAGGCTTGCTTTGAGCATTTCTAAAATATAGCAACTCCGGGCTTTTTCGGTAGGTTTGGTTTTACTTAACGAGGAAAACCCCATTCCTGGGCACTTCTTAAAACCATCCAAAGCGGGACGCTTCTTAATTCCTTCCAAGTACTAATCAATCCCGGAGTTCCCGCAAGTCCGTATCGATTCTAGACTTGCCCGTCACGGACCTGGGCCCGTCCGATAATTACGCTTTGTTGGCGGCCCACATCTTGTACGACCTGTCCGTGGAGGAGGCGAATTCGGACGTGCTAGCGGCGGCCGCCGCCCTGCTGGAAAGCCTGCTGCAAAACTCGCCGAGCAATTTCCACGCGAAACTGCTGCTGCTCAAGTTTTACCACGTCCTAGGGGACAGCGTGAACGCGAACAACGTCGCCCTCGCTTTGGACATCAAACACCTCCAGCTGGACTCGCTGGGTTACGTCCATTGCGCCCGGTTGACCACCACCGGCTTGTTCTCGTTGTGCGTCATCCACTTCGACACCACCCTCAAGTTCTTCTCTTCGAATTACAAAGACGTAAGTGGTAAAAGATCGTCCGTCCTTTGTTCTCCTCGACGGACGCACGAACGCTAGAAAGTACGGGCTTCGAATTTGCCCCCGTTCATGGAGCGGCCATTTTGGCGCCTGTTGTACCGACAAGATTTTATCAAACTAAAAACATTACTTTTATTTAAAAAATATTATATAAAAATAAAATTAATAAAGTATTTACTTTTGCTTTTATACAATTTATAGACAACGTTAAAACTCCAAAAAATTATATACTCGTACCGTTTGGCGTATTAAAAGGTCGCACTTGCTATTGATAATAAATTAACCATTGAAATTGAAACGTAAAAAAATAAATTTGCTCTACTTAACTTATTTTGCATGTTTTTTTAAGCGACTAGAGGCGAATAAATTGGACCACCCCTATCGTTTTTCTTAACTAAATTTAAGAAAATAGTTGATATGGAAAAAATTAACTTCAGTAGATGGGTTTGTTGAAAACTGTGTCTAATGCAATTTTTTCATTACACTTAAATAGTTTTAAAATAAAACGTAACGCCCTACATATGGACGAAAAAAATTGCCTGGCAAAAGAGTTTAAAATATATGCCGAAGGCGCTTTTTCGTTTCTGTAATATCTGTAATAGAAACTTTTTAAACACCTTGCAAATGGTTCAAATTAAATGAAATGTTTTATCTGAGTACTGAACACTGTCAATTTTGAAAATTCCCTGTTTGGTGCATAATAAAAAAAAAACTAATATCATCGGTGACCTATTCAAAACTAAAACAAGAGACTTTTGCGACTTTGGTTTTAGTTGGTTAGAGAGAGTAAATTGCTATGGTGTGAAGAATCATTGATTTTGATCGTAATTTATTGTTTTTTGTCGGGATATGTTTTTTTAAAACCTACTGAAAAAAAACTTCCATAAAGCTGTATTTGTATAATAATAAACGCATACTCTTACTGCAACACTTTTAAAAAGGCTTAAACGCTACCTAACGCTGATCTTAATTCCGCACTTTCAACTCATCAAGCAATTTTTTGCACAACGACCGGTATTTCTCTTCCGTTTCAGAGCACGGACCACCTAACTTTCTCATATAAATTCGGGTCGTTCACAAAATTGGAGGAGTTCATGGACTTTCGGGAGAAACTGAACAACAGCTTTCACTACACCAGCGTTGTCGTAGACAGGATATTTTTGAGTCTGTTAGACTGTTCGACCATCGACAGTTTGTATAGCCTCGACATATCTGCCTTGGACCGCAAAATTGAGTGGAACAACTTGAGGTACGTAATTTAACCCAAAACGGACGAATTAAGAAGTTTTTCAAAATTTACAAGTAGTCATACGCGTTTAACTGGTCTTTGATGATTTTTTAAACGGATAAGAAAATATCTAATTTAAAACAAGCAACAAAAACAGACATCAAAGCTACATACATAATTAGTACTTATATTCTTTTTCGTTACCGGTTTTAAGTGAAAATACAACAATAATTGTTTCTTCATATGGTTCTGTGGCCGTGTGGGTTTTCTCCATTTATCCCTGTCTCATTATAAGAGTTACAGTGTCCTTTTTCTGTTGAAACAAAAATCAAGAGCAATTGGACGCTCTCGATTGGATCCACGTAATTTTGTAAACTGTTGACGAATATTCCAGCACACTTCTTACCATACCGCAATGTTATGCAATTAAAGTAGGTGTCTTCTTAAAGCCCTCGGTAGTTGTCTCTCTTGCCCGATGTTTTCCGAATGATAACCTGTATATGGGCATAAAAGATTAATTAAAAATTTATCATTTTTATCGATAAAATAAATTTAAAAAATCGGTCTTTTTGCGGTTTATTAGACGAATGCTTTGACTGTATTTTTTTATATAGTCAATAAGTATTTGCATTATCGTGTTTCATTGACAACACAAAATATTTCTGCGTGATTGCTAATTATACGTCAAGGGCGCGTCGTCTATTTCTTAAAAGAAGTATTCTTTCCGGTTGTCTGTTGGTTATTACTCATTACAACCAGTTACAACTAATTTAATATTAAAAACAACCGTACAGTGTTCTATTATTATTGAGATGCTCCAGACAAACTCAATCGTATAATCCAAAAATATATACTGGCCGACCCACGTAAAAAAACGTGATTTGTATGGTAAAAAAAAGTTGCATAGTTTCATATAGATTTTCTAATTTTTCGTATATACAAGGTGTTAAGTTTTAAGTGAGACATCTTGTATATTTTGCGTTTTTTGATTCCCCGGAAAATTCTAGATATATTTTAATGTATAACGCCCTATTAACTGAGTCTAAATGATTTCGAAAAATATTATCCGAAAATTTATAGTTTCGGAAATAATTAATTTAACATTTTCCCATTGTAATAACCCTTTTTATACTTAAAAATTCTTCCAAGAAATGTTTTATTTTCGTCGATATTTTCTCCTGAAGTTTATTACGATTGAAGCGATCCTTTTGTTGTCGTTTAACATTATCACAATAGGAAAATATTAAATTGTCAATTACTACTACTACTATTCTTTTTGAGGTTCTGAGAATTTGATTTTTGTTTATATATCACATTAGCGTTTTTGCTGATGGTCTGCTATACTTTTTACACTGTTTATTATGTTTATGTTTTGTTGTTACCTATTTGTCAATTTAAACCGACAAATGACTGAACTTTTGTGATATGTTAATTAGAAAGAACAAGATTCATCAAGTTTACTAGTACTACTTACTAGGTCCAAGTAGAGTTGTGTCAATCGCGATTGATTCGGTCACTTTGATTCAAGCACTTCATGGGATCGAACGACCAAATCCCGCTTGTTCGTAACGATTCGATCACTTTGTTCGCTCTCGCTGACGCCCTGACCGTTCTGAAGTGACCGAATACATTCGCCGGAATACGATTCATTTGAATGGTTTAAGATCTAAAGGCTTGACTCAGACACGCCACGAAAAAAAAAACGGAAGTATTGTTATAAATATTCTATAGTAGTGAGTAGCGACATCGATTGGTAGATTAACAAATTAATGTATTACTGGTAAAACCCAATAGGTTAAATCATGATTAAATAAAAAGAAGAACACAGCTAAATATTATACTAACTAGAACAGAAAACACAACATATAGATCCAACAATAATTCAAATTCAAATGAATCTGAATCGGTCGTTCGGACTATTCGGATTCAGTGACTATTGCCGCTTATGTTGGCACCAAAAAGTATTGAAATGAACGATTGATTGAAATGATTCGGTCCTTTTCGAAATCGGTCACTTATTGATTCGGTCCTCGTAAAATGAACGATTGACACAACACTAGGTCCAAGTCTAACTTACAATAATGCCAACTTGTATTATGTAAAGTTCCTAACCTAAACTATGTCAAGTTAAAAAATGAAATAGAAAAACCAAGGGAATGTGAATTTTATTACTGCACATTTCGAAATCGTTCCGAAGCTTTTTTATTACGGAAATGTTGAAGTTTTATTTTATGACCGCGATTTAGACATTGACATTAGACATTTAGACATGGATAAATGGAGCAGTTTGGCAACGTTGTACGTTTGGCGACCACGGTTAAAAATTCCCCTTTGTGCCAAATACATAAGAAATAATCCAGCGTATTAATGATTCCTTTATTATCAATAAGTGCGCGCCCTGGTGACCATTTCAGAATTTTTTTTTTTATGTTTTGAAAAGAAAAGCTTAAATGGAACAGTTATGAAGATTGTTAATATATTTTTTTAAATTTGTTTCGAATACCTTTCAAAATACTCTTTTATTAATAGTAATACGTACCTAAACCGAATAGTTCACACTTGCCAACAAATTTGATATTTGCATTATTCGAAGATGACGTAACAGAAATTTGAATTATTATTTTTTCCGAAATATACCTGTTTTTAATATCGATTTATTTTAACTTTTACAATATTTACCTGTCTTTCTGTGTAAAAACATTGGAAAGTCTTTTACTCTAAAATGATTTTAAATCGTGCGTCCAAACAATCTTTACAACTTTTGCGTTTAACATTTTCTCATAACTTTCGAAACCAATAAACGTTGGCAACGCCGCGTTGTAATCTGTGGTGATTCGAAATCCGTCGCTGCTCGACGCCATTTTCATTGGGAACATTTGTGCCCCCACCTAACCTCAAAAAGGTACGTTCGTGAGGTTTTTTGGTCGCTTTTCATTTTGCAGTCGTACGCGTTACAACTGTTACAAGAAAAACAAATCTAAGTACGGCGCCGATCAAAAACTAACGGAGCGATTCAAATCGAAATTGTTACGTGACGTGCGCAACAAATATGTCCGCTAGTCTGGGCCACATTCGCGAGTTCGATCCGAAAAAGGACGACTGGGCGATTTTCATTTGCCGCCTGGAGAATTATTTCACTGCGAACGCAGCGACGGACCCGGTAAAAAAGCGGGCGATCCTACTAAACTCGTTAAACGAGGACGGCTTTAAACTGATGTTCAACCTTTGTATGCCGTCGAAGCCCGAAGAGAAAGATTACGACGAACTGGTGAAACTCTTGACCGATCATTTCAAACCGACCAAGTCCGCCTTCGCTAATCGCTTTAAATTCTACAATGCCGTGAAACTGGCCAACGAAAGCGTGGCGGATTGGGCAGCCCGGATACGTAGTTTAGCCGCGCCTTGCGAATTCGAGGCGGAAGCGATCGACATGGTGCTGAGGGATCGTTTCGTCGTGGGATTCGAGAAAGGTCCCGTGCGCGATCGACTTTTCGAAGAAGGTATCGACAGTAAATTCGCGGACGTCGTGAGTATCGCCTCTACGAAGATGGCGGCCTCCATGGATCAAATGCCGCAGAAAAAGGAGGCGCAGCCCCAGAAGAAGCCGAACAAGCCGGATCAAGCGAAGGGCGGTAACGCGGGCGCCCAACCCAAGTGCATGGTATGCGGAAAATTTGGCCACCAAACGAGCTCGTGCCGTTTGCGCGAGCTTTCGTGCAACGTGTGCAACCAGCAGGGCCACTTGGCGCCCGTCTGTCCTAATAAACTCGCCAAAAAGGACGCGAAAAAGGCTTCCAAATGATCAGTTATTTCGGAACACCCATGAACGAGGTGGGAAATCGTCATATTTGTAAGTTTTGTAGGGTTCACATATTTGTCGTCGATCGAGAGGTAAATCACGGTGTTCCGGCTCTAGGAAAACTGGGATATCTTTGATATCCGTGAAATCATACCGTGTTTTAAAAAAAAAAAATTATAGACACAAAATTATGAATGACCAAATATATAACACAGCACAACCCGTTCCATTGAAGAAAATTACTTAATTAAACGAAATAAAAAAAATCACTATAGTTGTGTGGATGTTGATTGCAGATTTTCAGACATTTATGGATTTTGAAAAGTAATTAGTACACTACAAATTATTAAAAGTATATAAAAAATGTGCTGTTTTAAGACTATTTCAGTTGTCGCAGTGCCAGTATTAAAATAATCATAATTAAATTAATTTCTCAATAAGTAAACAAACTAATAAATAAAAATAGTATCAATTGTAAAAATGTACATCACGCAAAACATATCGCATGGCATGTAGCAACTATAATTAACATTAATTTGAGAATTTAAGGGTACACTGTAATCAGTGGGCCGATCAGCGGGATATTTTTAGAATATGGGCACTTCCAGTTATTTTAAATAGAACAATTTTTCCTATATTAAATCTGTATAACTTTAAATACGTAATTTTATGCATAGGAACGGGCATGTGAAGGACATTTAGTAAAAAAACAAAATTGATAAATATTAAAATATGTTGATGAAAAAATTACAGTGAGAAGCGGAAATAATTTTGAATCATCGAGTTGAATGGATATTAGGAAAAAATAAATTAAAGATCCCGTCGATAAAGTTCGTTTAATTTAACAATAGTATTTCTCAAAATTAGTTAACGGTCCAAACAAATAACTAAAAATTTACGTATTGACTTTTTTTGAATTTTAATTTGTTTTAATTAATGGAAAATGCTCAAAACTTCAAGAAAGCACGTTATGATTTCACAAACATTTCACACATTACTAAATGATTTTCCCAATTTCAAAGAGTTTGCAAAATACTTTTTAGGTTGTGTGGAAAATTTTTGGGTTTAAAACTAATATATAAAAAATACACTTTTTTTCCAAAACCTGAGTGTTGTCATTATGAATTCTATAATCGTAATATTTTGAAAATATTTTTTTCAAAATTTTGTTTCCTAATGTTTCTGGTTTAATTAAGTTTGATTTTTTATTTCACTCGACTTCGTCGGCAAGTCTTAATTTTCTGTCGGTTTAAAAATTACAATTAAAGCCAAATGGGAAAAAAGTAAAGGCAATATTTTTATGACCTTATCTTATGCCTTATATCTTATCACCATAAAAATGCCAAGCTAACTACAAACATTTTCCTTTTTCTTCTTATAATTATAGTAAAATAATAAATCTAGCCAATAGGCGCTACAGAAATTAATTTTTATTTTTTAATGTCTTTTAAAGGCGTATTTAAAAATCCAATCCGGTCTTATATTGTTTTAGGTGGCGCCCACGATTTATTTTTCTATTTTGGAAATTCTTTGTTTAAAATGCATCTCTTGTGGAAAATAAAAAATTTCAATTAGTTTATTTTTACGCCTCACTCTAAAATGTTATTCTATATTTTCCCATAGAAAAGTAAATATTTTCTAGATGGTTCCCTTTTTCGGATGATTTATCTATTATTTTTAAATTTCTATTCGATTTTGTTTGAAGCTCTATTTAAAAAGCTCTCAGAAAAAATGTATTTCGAAAATTGGTTGTAATTTTTCGTAAAATGGCTGCTAACAAACGTACGATAAAATGTACTTTTTGTTACATTTGTTTTATACTTATTATACTTATTAATTTGCAATTGTAATATCTGCACATAATATTTATATAATTATTGTATTGACTTGTATGGATATACCTAAATTTTTTTAATATAATTTTGAAGGTAACACGGTGTCTTATTGTTAATTGGAAATATTTCAACTGAATTCATATGCGTTTAAAATATTAAAATGTAACCCAAACCGCTTAGATGAAATGCGACTTCCTTGGTGACGATAATATATTGCCCCGATATATTGTCATGGATAAAGAAAAAATCCTGCAAATAATCGAAAGTGTTGTTGAAATAAAAATTATAGTCGCTAATCTAACGCGTTTTCAGATTAAAGAATTTTGCCTATCGGGAAAATAGTTTTCGAAAAAAAAATTTTTTTTTTTTGAAAGCCAAAATACCGCGAAAAATTTCAAAATTAAACAAAAATGCTGCGAGACGTTTGATCGCGTCAACTTCATCAGGCGGTAGCTGCAAATTTAAGGCACCCATTACGCTTTTTAACATTGCTTCGAATATCCTGAACATCCTATACGATATGTGAAAACTTTAAATAAAGGAAACTTCTAGTTGGGACTAATTTTAATTAAAAGGGGAACCCGTGTTCATTTTTTTCGATTTACCGACGCGCCCTTGTTTATTTTCAAAGAATATGTATTTTTTTTTATTATTTACTGTTTTTTGGAAATGTTTCCTTTCGTATCTTTGATTTTTTTTTATTTTAAATACTTTTCGACCGCTCAGCCTATCCAATTTCAATAGGCTTTGTTAGGGAATCAAGCTGGTGCGTGCAAAATTTCAAGCGGTATCTTCAAATGTCGTGTTCCTTAGTAATATGTATTGAATTTAAAACAATTTTTAGTTTTTCGGTTTGAAAAATATCGGTTACAATAATTCGCGAAATTTAAGCGGTCACAACATAAGAATATAATAAACTTAAATATTTCAAGAAAAAAAAAACTTGCAAATTCGATTTGAACCCGATAACTTTCGTGTCGCGCACAACGCCGTACCCACAGAGCTACACAGCGCGTATTGAATTTACAATTTGGTGTATATATATATATATATATATATATATATATATATATATATATATATATATATATATATATTGCCAGTATTCTTTTAACCAGTGACTTGAGGGTTTTGGCGTAATAAATCGTACAGTTAGTAAAAAGTACCGTAACGCTTCAGTAATATCTTCAGAACTGCTATAGCTGGAACGATAAAATTCAATCCCTGGGGTTTTTTTTTAATATAGGAAACGTAGGATATCGGCGAAAGGTTTCTGCATGTTTCGGTACCTTAAGGAGCGCCATAAATAAATGTTGAAATTCCATATAAAATAACATTGTTGTTGGCATTTTTTAATTCTGTATGTTCAAAAAACCCCATCGCCTAGCATTAAAACGGATGAAAACTTCCCGATGGTGCGTTACGGAAAACAGACGCGGGAGAACAGAAACCAGATAAAAATTGTTTACGTAACAGAGAACAGAGTTTTTTTTTAGAAATAATCGTATTTAAAGCAAAAAGCAGTGAAAAATGTTTCGTTTTTTTCGTCAAAATGGCCGACTCGGATGGTTTAACTGTTTGAAGAACGTTTCACGCAGGGACAACAGGGATTTGCAGGTCCAGGTAAATTGGGAACCCGACCATGCGGGAAACGGGCCCGACGAATACGAGGGTTTCAAAAAACTGTTCCGGCAAGATTTGACGTTTGTCGAGTTCCGAACGCAAGCGCTGCGGTCGTTCGGCGCGGCGGTCGACGTCCTCAGATCCGTGGACGGCGTGAAACTGAAGAACGTCGACGTTCTGAGGCAAATTTTGGCAGAGTGGACCCAGCTGGAAGAGAACGCGGACGGGGAACTTTTAAAACCCGTCGACGAGGTGAAAACAATGTCGACACGCCGGAATGCGACCCGATAATTCGTTCTTTTAGAAGTCGATAGTTCATCCGTTGCCTTCCCGACTGCACAGCTTCGTCGACACTCGTTACCGGCCGATATTGGTGTCTTTGTTTGAATTTTTCGCGTCTCTGGCGTCGGAGCGCGCGGACGATTACCAAGAGGCGTGTTCAAAGTTCGAAAAGGAACTCGAAAATGTCGGCAAGGTCCTGCGGGAAAAAGTGTTAAATAAATCGTCGGATTTTAGGGAGAAACGGAAAGCGCTGGAGCACATAGTTAATTTAGTAGAGGTTAGTACTCGTATACGCCGGGTTAACGTATTAATTGCCCTTGAATATCTTATTGTACTTTTTAAAGAATTCACCAATAAATAAAAGTATACTTTTCCGAAATTATACCCAAGAATTGTCATCTGTAATTGTATCCAAAAAACATGAAAAGCAGCAAAAAACCAGGGCACTCAATTTAGACCCTTTTAAAACACCTTTTTCTACAAACTTTCAAAATATTTACTTCTTTTCTTCTTGGATTGGTGGTTATTTAAAAAAATATATATTTCAATTTCGATTAATCTAAATTGTCGACGGTGAAAAATTACATACGATAATATACGCATATATACACTTTAGGGGGTCTTGGAAATGTAATACACTTTATATATTCAAAAAACAATAAATGACATAAAGAACTGATGATTCGCAAAAAAAAAATACAAAAAAAGCAACAACCCTTATACATAATTCTTGCTTGTTTAAAAAAAGTTACTTCTTTTTTATTTTAAAATTTTCCTTGAAACGTTATTAAAATGAACCTATTTTTAATGCAATTCTGATTAATCTAAATTATCGGCAGTGAAAAGTTATATGACCAAATTAACAACCAAAAAAATGGCTCACAACACTTGTTAGATGTCAAATAAGGACTTCTTAAAGACGTGAAAGTTAGTCCTGTCTTATAATTAACAAAATAACGTGATTATTACTTAATAAGTTACAAAAAAATCTCCTCAGCATAGTAATACAATATTGTTTTAAATGTTATTATTTTATTATTGTCGAACACAAAAAATTATTTAATGATTTAGATATGCACCATTAACAATTCTAAGAACTACCTGGTCAGAAAATATTGAAATGAAGTTTCGAATAAGATGAAAATGACGCAATTGCCGAGAGATTTAACGTATTCTTCCAGAATTCTACTTGTAGCCCCATAAGAATAAAATTAATATGTTGCCGTTTGTTGGGACCTCAGCCTTTTGCATATTTTTTTGTGACCTCGCTAACTATGGAGTATGAGCTACAGCGCATGGTCTTATTTCAATAACAGAGAACAATATGCTGAAAATCGATCATAACAACCACAAAATTTCGTCAAAGCTTGACATTGAGATTGACAAGATTATGTGACTGGGAGCAAAAAATAAGCAGAAATCTTGATAAGCTGTTGTAATGGTTCAGCCAAAATTCTTTACGGCAAAAGCAAATTACATCCGATTCGACAGTTCCCAGCAAAGAAACGAACTTTCTCAAAATATTAGAACTGCCGAAGAAGGATAGCACAAAGTTTCTTGGGATTACGGTAGACCATAATCCAAATTGGAAAAATCGCTGTTATAATTTATCTTCTAAAATCAACTTGTCTTTTATTCTTTTACGTAATTTAAGGAGAATATTCATAAATAAGCAACCCATTAATATATATCGCCCTAAAATAGCATATGTTCTGAGGTACGCAGTAGTGGGCATCTTCAAAAGAAAGAAGAGAGCTCCAGCAGCACGGTCGGTCACTTCAAGTTAATTGTTGACTTTGACCGGTATTTAACGTTATTTTGCGACTTCGGCAATGCTTTTGATTGTGTCTGTTTGCCACTGCGTCTCATATGTTATTACGTTTTAAGATTCTAAATATGTTTCGTGTATACCTATGTCTAACCGTTTTTGATATATTTGATTTTGAAAAAAATAAACGCACTTTTGCATTGCAATTTTTGAAAATTTAAACCTCATATTCGGCAAGACAATCCTGTAATTTCCAATGTCGACCTTAGCGTTTTTAAGTACGTCCGGAAAAAAATTCCTCGATAACATCAGATAAATGATCCGCTAAATATTGAATTGCATATTAGGAAGTGACATGATTATTCAACATATCTCAAAGGGACCTGCAAGATCGAGAAACGTCAGCCTAATTTGTATTTCTAAGTATTGCATCGAAATTAGCATTTCAGTTGGGAAGACTGACGGTTACCCGATTAATTCGTTTAGATATTGGGGATATCGTGCGTCATCTGTCACATGTGCAACGAGCTGATCAAGCCGCCCGCGTCAACCAAAAAGGGGAAACGGAAACCGACCGATACGAAAGCGAAGGACCTGCTGGGCGCGATAGTGGACCAAATAAAAGACCAAATCGGCAAAGTGAGTGAGTCGACCGAGAAGTTCGCGTGCGAGTGGGAGGAGCGGGAATTGGTGAACGTTCTCGAATCGCTCAGCTTGAACGTGGACTGCGAGAGCGTGCGCCGGAACATTAGGTCGAGTTTTCTTAGCGCCAACAAGGAAATTCAAAATATGTTGAAGGCCAAATCGAAAATGTTGAACGGTTTGTAAAGTCCGCGAGTGCGCGTGCCATAGGTCTGTTCGTCTCTTTTTTTTTCTCTTGTAAATGTTACGTTGTTTAATAAAATTATTGATTTTAATTTTTTTCTTTGTGGTATTTTCGACGCCCCGGTTTCGAGTTTAATTGTTACTATTTTAAGGTGGATGATATATTTTTAGGCCTCGGAATCTTCCAACGAAAACAATTTTAACTTGCTAGTTAACTACGGTTATATTTGCATGTTCTTCAGTTGCCAATAGTTGTTTTCAACGAAATTTGTGTTTTTGAGCAAAAATAAAAGTTTTGTTTTCATTAGAACACGGAAGAATAACGAAAGTGCCCATAGCGCTCCATTTCAGAAGCGGAATTGAAATCCATTGACATGAATGAAGTGCACAAATAAAATTTGATGAAAATTAATTAATTGGTGAATTATTAAATAAACTTTAATAATTCACCAATATAATAAAACACTGTATACATATAACATAAATTAGCTCATAAATTCCAAATTAGCTTTGGTACCGCACTAAGTGTGTGCTAAGGCTAGCTGTTGATATTGATGAGTTATTAAAACTTGTCAAAAGTCTTAATTAAAGGTAAATGTGTCATTTTGCAATGAAATCAATTGTCCACGCAATATTTAGAAACTTTACATGAAAAAAATGACAAAAAAGTTTATTGGGTAACCTATTTGCTTGTCAAAGTTTCATATGGGCAAAATTAAACATCGATGAAAAAACTTGCTTTATGAATCTAATCGAAAATACATTCAGCTCCGAGTAGTTAAGGTTCGCAACAATATATCGTTATTTATATATTTATAAAAAAGAAAGTTATTTTACACAAAATATTCGCTGTCGTCTCTATACTCGGTCCAAACATTAATAAATGATTCTGGCGCTAGTCCACTTCTGTAAACATTTTCTTCTTCGATGACATCATTTTTTTCCATTAGAACCCGATATTTTTCTACTTCACTTATAATTAATTCAGTTATCACAAAACTAAATTTCGACGAGGTAAACTGGGCTTCAGCGGTCCCCGTTTGGCTCCCCCTATATTAAAATCGAGAATTTTCTACTTTCTCGGTTGTCGTCGATCCATGTCCTTTTTTACCTAGCAGAATTAGAAAGAGAGGAGACGCATGTGGAAAAGTCGAGAATTTTCGTTCCTCTTCGGGAATGTCAAGCCGGCGCATATAAAAGCTGCCAATCGGGTCTCTCCTACCCAACATTTGAATCCGAAGTGCGATATTGAAAGCATTAGCAACAAGCGAAGCGATAATTTTCCAAGTTTCGTATAGTTTATTTGTAAAAGGAGAATAGAGAAGTAACAAAAATGGTGAAAGCTCCAGCAATCGGTATTGATTTGGGAACGACCTACTCGTGTGTCGGTGTTTGGCAGCACGGGAAAGTGGAAATCATCGCCAACGACCAAGGCAACAGAACGACTCCTAGTTATGTGGCGTTTACCGATACGGAACGTCTCATCGGGGATGCGGCGAAGAACCAGGTGGCGATGAACCCGGCTAACACCGTATTCGACGCTAAACGACTGATCGGAAGGAAGTACGACGATCCCAAAATTCAACAAGATCTCAAACATTGGCCGTTTAAAGTCGTCAACGACAGCGGTAAACCGAAAATCCAGGTGGAATATAAGGGAGAGATCAAGAGATTCGCTCCGGAAGAAGTCAGTTCGATGGTGTTGACGAAAATGAAGGAAACGGCCGAAGCATATTTGGGAATGCCTATTAGAGATGCCGTCGTCACCGTTCCGGCTTATTTCAACGACTCCCAAAGACAAGCCACAAAAGATGCGGGCGTTATCGCGGGACTAAACGTTATGAGAATCATAAACGAACCCACGGCAGCCGCGTTAGCGTACGGCCTCGATAAGAACTTGAAGGGAGAGCGCAATGTTTTGATATTCGATTTGGGAGGAGGCACTTTCGACGTTTCCATACTAACCATCGATGAAGGTTCGTTGTTCGAAGTAAGAGCTACGGCCGGTGACACACATTTAGGAGGAGAGGACTTTGACAATCGACTAGTCAACCATTTAGCAGACGAGTTCAAACGCAAATACAGAAAAGATTTAAAAACTAATCCTCGAGCGTTGAGAAGGTTAAGGACTGCCGCGGAACGAGCCAAGAGAACGTTATCGTCGAGTACAGAAGCCTCTATTGAAATCGATGCTTTGTACGAAGGTGTAGACTTTTATACCAAAGTCACGAGGGCCCGTTTCGAAGAACTTAACGCGGATTTGTTCAGAGGAACCTTACAGCCAGTTGAGAAAGCTCTCAATGATGCCAAAATGGACAAGAGATCTATTCATGACATAGTGTTGGTTGGCGGCTCCACGAGAATTCCCAAAATCCAGCAGCTTCTGCAGAATTTCTTCAACGGGAAACAGCTAAATCTTTCCATTAATCCAGATGAAGCAGTGGCTTATGGGGCTGCCGTCCAAGCAGCAGTATTGAATGGCGAGAAAGACGAGAAGATTCAGGATGTGCTGTTAGTTGATGTAACGCCTTTATCGATGGGTATTGAAACTGCCGGTGGGGTTATGACCAAAATTATTGAAAGAAACGCCAGAATTCCATGCAAGCAAACTCAGACTTTCACAACATATTCCGATAATCAGCCTGCGGTGACTATTCAAGTCTTCGAAGGGGAAAGGGCCATGACGAAGGACAACAACCTTCTGGGTACCTTCGACCTAACCGGAATTCCACCAGCTCCCAGAGGCGTCCCTAAGGTCGAAGTCACCTTCGATTTGGACGCCAACGGAATCCTAAATGTTTCTGCCAAGGATACCAGTTCGGGCAACTCCCGTAACATCACCATCAAAAACGACAAGGGCAGACTATCCCAGCAAGATATCGACCGAATGTTGTCCGAAGCCGAGATGTACAAAGAAGAAGACGAGAAACAAAAACTCAAAGTGTCTGCGCGAAACCAATTGGAAGCCTACATATTCCAACTGAAGCAGGCAGTAAGTGAGTCCGGTGATAAACTGAGCCCCGAGGACAAGTCGAGGGTGGAGCAAGAATGCGCGGACGCGTTAAGGTGGCTCGACAGTAACACTCTGGCTGAGAAAGAAGAATTCGAAGACAGACGGAAGCAGCTCACATCCGCCTGCAGCCCCATAATGGCCAAACTCTATGGAGGCGGCAACCAGCAGAACTTTGGCCCCGGACCCTCGTCAAGTGGAATGCCCGGTGGATGTGGAAGACAAGCAGGTGGATTCGGTGGACAGCAAAGTGGACCGACAATCGAGGAGGTCGACTAAGATACCAATTTTCAAGATCTTCATTTTCAAGACTGATTATTTAATTAGATAATTAATTTGTTATCTGTTGTACAAATTTTAAGTTAAATAAAAGGACGTAAGTTTTAATAACTGTTTTATTTGAAAAACTTATACAGGTTTTCGAAACATAAAATTAACATGTACAAAAAATATCATAAAAAAGTATTTAACAGCTTACTAGCGCTAAAAGTTATAAAAAATAAATATACACATAATATTGAGAGGTAAAAGAATCGAATAACGCGCCATTTAAGATTTGGGCTTCCTTGCCTAAATAATGAAAATTAAATAAAAACAAATAGGCCTAGCCTACACCACTATCCTACCTAATTACATCGTAGTACATTACAGGTTTCTGTATATTTTTAATGATATATACAAGTATATTCTTACACCGATATCCAAAAAAACAGATCGATATTTGAAGAAAGACACGATTGTATTTGAAGCGGGATGAAACGGGAAAGTTTGATTTTTCCATAAGCTCAGAAAAGTCCATCCATTTCATATTAAAAAACAAAAGTGGCCAAGCGATTTTCACACGAAACTTCCTCAAATTGTTTTAAATTGCAACGTCTCTCCTTATTTTTACAATCAAAAAAATATATTCCCACCCAAGATGGATCGGGACCAAGTAAAAAATTAAATAATTTGTACTTTAAAAACCTCAATAGCAGGATTGTGGCCAACCTACAAATATTAGAGACAATTTGTTCAGGATGTTTCGAATATTAGGATGTATATTTATCTAGCACGATCTAAATCTGCAAATGAAACAGAAGTTTATCCGACTACTAGTGGACTTAAAAACAAGGCTGATAAGTGCGATGACATTCATGCCAGCATAATTGAGTTAGCTGTTCCGGTCACAAATCGCATTATAAATAATGGCATGGAGCAAAGTATCCAATTTGGTTTCCTCAAGAAAAAAGGCCCAGATGATGCGCTACAGCTTCACTTACCAGATTTATCTATGAAGTCAGCAAGTTAAAACAAATGTTCAACTCATACATAAATGACTTATTGGTTTTGCAAGATACGCGGCAAAATATTTCAATGAATTGAAAAATCGCACTGTCGACAAAAAAGTTAAAGAAAACATTAGAAGCGTTACAATCGAATAAGTAAAAATAAAATTCAAAAAAATATCTATAACTCTTTTTCAATTTTGTGAAATAATAAAAAAGATTAACATATTGTGTACAACCAGTAGTAAGTAGTTAAAAGTTATTTTATGGCCAACCTATGTACAAGCAGTATTTGCCCCTTTACTGTAGAAAGATTTTTATGTAAAATGAAATTTTGGCAATAAATATTATTATTATTATTATTAACATGATAATTTGTGTTCTATAGATAGCAAGAAGACAAATGCTTCTGTTACTACAAGGAAACATATCTGACATAGATGCAGGAGGAAAAAGTTCCTTCTGAGCTGGTAACGGTCAAAAAATCTACATTTACGCTAAAGTACGCAAAATTATTATGTGGCGGATTGCCGAGAATCCCAAATAGCATACAGTTGGAACAATTCGTCTATCGCATTTTTTATCTTATCTAAGGGTCAAATTGTACCCTCAATAGTACGTAATGCGGTAATATTTAAAAATATTGTAAAATGTGCATGAATCAAAATGGGGGCCTCAAAAACTACAAACTCTGCAATCTTTACCCATTCAATCACTACCATTACCGTTCGTCCACTTCTATTTCCATCTTCACTTTCGACGTTTCCATACTAACCATCGATGAAGGTTCGTTGTTCGAAGTAAGAGCTACGGCCGGTGACACACATTTAGGAGGAGAGGACTTTGACAATCGACTAGTCAACCATTTAGCAGACGAGTTCAAACGCAAATACAGAAAAGATTTAAAAACTAATCCTCGAGCGTTGAGAAGGTTAAGGACTGCCGCGGAACGAGCCAAGAGAACGTTATCGTCGAGTACAGAAGCCTCTATTGAAATCGATGCTTTGTACGAAGGTGTAGACTTTTATACCAAAGTCACGAGGGCCCGTTTCGAAGAACTTAACGCGGATTTGTTCAGAGGAACCTTACAGCCAGTTGAGAAAGCTCTCAATGATGCCAAAATGGACAAGAGATCTATTCATGACATAGTGTTGGTTGGCGGCTCCACGAGAATTCCCAAAATCCAGCAGCTTCTGCAGAATTTCTTCAACGGGAAACAGCTAAATCTTTCCATTAATCCAGATGAAGCAGTGGCTTATGGGGCTGCCGTCCAAGCAGCAGTATTGAATGGCGAGAAAGACGAGAAGATTCAGGATGTGCTGTTAGTTGATGTAACGCCTTTATCGATGGGTATTGAAACTGCCGGTGGGGTTATGACCAAAATTATTGAAAGAAACGCCAGAATTCCATGCAAGCAAACTCAGACTTTCACAACATATTCCGATAATCAGCCTGCGGTGACTATTCAAGTCTTCGAAGGGGAAAGGGCCATGACGAAGGACAACAACCTTCTGGGTACCTTCGACCTAACCGGAATTCCACCAGCTCCCAGAGGCGTCCCTAAGGTCGAAGTCACCTTCGATTTGGACGCCAACGGAATCCTAAATGTTTCTGCCAAGGATACCAGTTCGGGCAACTCCCGTAACATCACCATCAAAAACGACAAGGGCAGACTATCCCAGCAAGATATCGACCGAATGTTGTCCGAAGCCGAGATGTACAAAGAAGAAGACGAGAAACAAAAACTCAAAGTGTCTGCGCGAAACCAATTGGAAGCCTACATATTCCAACTGAAGCAGGCAGTAAGTGAGTCCGGTGATAAACTGAGCCCCGAGGACAAGTCGAGGGTGGAGCAAGAATGCGCGGACGCGTTAAGGTGGCTCGACAGTAACACTCTGGCTGAGAAAGAAGAATTCGAAGACAGACGGAAGCAGCTCACATCCGCCTGCAGCCCCATAATGGCCAAACTCTATGGAGGCGGCAACCAGCAGAACTTTGGCCCCGGACCCTCGTCAAGTGGAATGCCCGGTGGATGTGGAAGACAAGCAGGTGGATTCGGTGGACAGCAAAGTGGACCGACAATCGAGGAGGTCGACTAAGATACCAATTTTCAAGATCTTCATTTTCAAGACTGATTATTTAATTAGATAATTAATTTGTTATCTGTTGTACAAATTTTAAGTTAAATAAAAGGACGTAAGTTTTAATAACTGTTTTATTTGAAAAACTTATACAGGTTTTCGAAACATAAAATTAACATGTACAAAAAATATCATAAAAAAGTATTTAACAGCTTACTAGCGCTAAAAGTTATAAAAAATAAATATACACATAATATTGAGAGGTAAAAGAATCGAATAACGCGCCATTTAAGATTTGGGCTTCCTTGCCTAAATAATGAAAATTAAATAAAAACAAATAGGCCTAGCCTACACCACTATCCTACCTAATTACATCGTAGTACATTACAGGTTTCTGTATATTTTTAATGATATATACAAGTATATTCTTACACCGATATCCAAAAAAACAGATCGATATTTGAAGAAAGACACGATTGTATTTGAAGCGGGATGAAACGGGAAAGTTTGATTTTTCCATAAGCTCAGAAAAGTCCATCCATTTCATATTAAAAAACAAAAGTGGCCAAGCGATTTTCACACGAAACTTCCTCAAATTGTTTTAAATTGCAACGTCTCTCCTTATTTTTACAATCAAAAAAATATATTCCCACCCAAGATGGATCGGGACCAAGTAAAAAATTAAATAATTTGTACTTTAAAAACCTCAATAGCAGGATTGTGGCCAACCTACAAATATTAGAGACAATTTGTTCAGGATGTTTCGAATATTAGGATGTATATTTATCTAGCACGATCTAAATCTGCAAATGAAACAGAAGTTTATCCGACTACTAGTGGACTTAAAAACAAGGCTGATAAGTGCGATGACATTCATGCCAGCATAATTGAGTTAGCTGTTCCGGTCACAAATCGCATTATAAATAATGGCATGGAGCAAAGTATCCAATTTGGTTTCCTCAAGAAAAAAGGCCCAGATGATGCGCTACAGCTTCACTTACCAGATTTATCTATGAAGTCAGCAAGTTAAAACAAATGTTCAACTCATACATAAATGACTTATTGGTTTTGCAAGATACGCGGCAAAATATTTCAATGAATTGAAAAATCGCACTGTCGACAAAAAAGTTAAAGAAAACATTAGAAGCGTTACAATCGAATAAGTAAAAATAAAATTCAAAAAAATATCTATAACTCTTTTTCAATTTTGTGAAATAATAAAAAAGATTAACATATTGTGTACAACCAGTAGTAAGTAGTTAAAAGTTATTTTATGGCCAACCTATGTACAAGCAGTATTTGCCCCTTTACTGTAGAAAGATTTTTATGTAAAATGAAATTTTGGCAATAAATATTATTATTATTATTATTAACATGATAATTTGTGTTCTATAGATAGCAAGAAGACAAATGCTTCTGTTACTACAAGGAAACATATCTGACATAGATGCAGGAGGAAAAAGTTCCTTCTGAGCTGGTAACGGTCAAAAAATCTACATTTACGCTAAAGTACGCTTATATTATCGTTTCCATAAAGATGTAGTTGGTTGTCAACTCAATAAGTTAGTTACTTCGGAATATCTGCAGATATGCAAAAGAGTTGCAACGAAAGGTTATTATTTATTATAGCATTTTAAATAAAAATAATAAAATTAAATTAACAATGTTCAGATGAATGCAATGTAAATACATTCGATCCTAATGGGCGGCGTTTTATTTGAGGTACACCAAATAAAGATTTCGACTAGTGTTACACTATGAAAACAGTAAAATTTGGAGGTGGTTCTATCATACAGAATAACTGAAGTACACATAAACATACTGGAAAAGGTCCTGCAGTCATATATATATATATATATATATATATATATATATATATATATATATATATATATATATATATATATATATATATATATATATATATATATATATATATATATATATATATATATATATATATATATGTGTGTGTCATATATATATATATAAGAAAATTTATTTGTAGACAATGGTCCCAAGCCTCCTGCTAATACGCTACAGCATAATCATATAGATGTTTTACAGCGGCCATCCAGTAGCCCAGATCAAATAGAGAATTTGCGGACGGTCTTTAAAGTACAGTTAAATTGGCGAATAAAATGATTGTGCTTAATGTGAAAATAATAAATATACATAATAATAATAGTACCAATGATATAATATTCGAAATAACTTGAACGCATTTCTTAGTACCAACCAGGTTTGTTTTCAAAATTCATTTTTATTAACGCGCAGGCTGGATAAAATGGAAAACTTGAATTTGCAAGTACCAATTTTCCATCTGAAATTGAAAAAAAGCTCTCGACATGGTCAACCTCAAAATTATTATGTGGCGGATTGCCGAGAATCCCAAATAGCATACAGTTGGAACAATTCGTCTATCGCATTTTTTATCTTATCTAAGGGTCAAATTGTACCCTCAATAGTACGTAATGCGGTAATATTTAAAAATATTGTAAAATGTGCATGAATCAAAATGGGGGCCTCAAAAACTACAAACTCTGCAATCTTTACCCATTCAATCACTACCATTACCGTTCGTCCACTTCTATTTCCATCTTCAGCTGCGGCACATCACTATTCGAAGTGTCATCTAGAGGATCATCCCTTAACCCATGAGGGGGTTTGACATCTTCTGTGTCTTCGGCAACCGGTTCTTGTTCTTCGAGACTCGCTATAAAAGGCGCCTGCTCCAATTCTTCATCCAGCAGTTTTTCCGGTTCCGTCTCTAAGATGTCCTCGCAATCTGCTTCTGATAAACGCACGTGTTTGCGGATTTCTCGGCGACCGAAAGGTACTAACTCACCGAGCTCCAACTGCGTGCGGTTCCGTTTCCTCCTGATCTGCCTTCCTCTGAGATTTTTCAGTTTCGTCAGGTCCGCCAAAATTCTCCTTCGAGCGTTTATAAACCAATTTTCCACCTGCAGCAACGACAAGTTCGTCTCCTTCATCAATTGCTGTTTTTCCATGTCCGTCGGATAGGGGTGCTGAAACAATCGATCTAAAGTGAAGCTGTAAGGTCGCACCATACACAGTGCTTGCAGGAAAAAGTTTTAAAAAGGTTTAAATTTTAATAGATTTTTTTTTTAACGTTTTATTGATGACCCGATGATCGTTTAACGGCTTATACCAAAATAAAAAAAAGCATTTTATCAAATGCACTGCATTAAAAAGTAAAATTCCAGCTTAAAAGAACTCAAATGTTGTATATTCACTACCTTGCGTAACTTGTCCAAGAAAATATACTGGAACAAAAGGCCTACCTTTTGAAAATCATGTAAATGTATATAAATATACCAAAACAAAAAACTAAAAATACTGCAATACATGCATATTCTATCTATAAGATATCACAGTTTGCCACAATTCTTACAAATTAATAAAATTAATTTTTACTGGACTAAAAACTAATATTCCTGTTAAAAAAAACTCAAATATTGTATATTGTATATAAATGTGCACATAAATATATTAAAAATGTTTCAATACCGCATTTAAATAATTTATCTGATAAAATAAAACATATTCTATCTAAATATGATATCACAGTTTGCAACAAATCTTACAAATTAATAAAATCAATTTTGACTAGATTAAAAACTAAAATTCCTGTTAAAAAGAACTGAAACATATATAATATATTTATAATTAACACTTTTCTTAAATTGTCCGAAAAAATATGTCCCAATAGCAAGCCAACTTTTAGAAAAACCCATAAATTAAGTGAAATATATAAATAATTTATCTGAAAAAATAAAACACATTCTATCTAATTATGACGTCATTGTTTGCCACAAATTAATAAAATCAATTTAACAAACCATTAATTTGATTTTAGAAAAACTCAAATTTACACACAAAATAATAATTATTAAAATTGAGTATTTCACATTAAAAACGTAATAAATGCTGTAAACTATCTAAAAGACATTAGCGACATCTAATAAACCTAACCACCAAACTCCTATTTCTTTATATATCACAATATTTGTATGTATTTTAAGCTCCTACAATACAAATTTAATTATTGAACAACCTCAACAGAAGATTTTAAGCATTATATTAAAAACAACTACAAAACTTACATCTGTGTGCCGGAAGAGCCACTTTTTGAGGTGATTTTTCGCCTTGGTCGGCAGATGAGGCCTCTTTGTTAGAACTGGATGGTGCGCCGCTGGATTTCGACTCCTTTGGCAGATATTGTTGTGCTTTCTCAAGCACTGCAAAGTCTTAAACGCCTGGTTACAAAAATTGCACAAGTAATCTTCGTCATGTAAAGCGGTTTTGTGATGGTGCAACGCGGGCACGTTCGGAAATTTCTGTTCACAATGATTGCACGCAAACACAGCGCCCGTGTTTTGTGTAACGGCCTCTTCCTCCTTTACGACGGGGGTCCTTGAAAATGAGGAGGGAACAATCTCAAGTTCGGTTGAATTAGATATCACAATCTCTCGTTTGACACTAAGCAAATCGGAGAGCATAGACGTTTGTTTTTTTGGCTCCTTGGGAGGGGATTCTTTTGGCGACTCCAAATCTTGTGGCTTTATGGGTTTCGGTAATTCGGAAGTATCAATTTCGCTGAGATCGTAGGCTTCCATTGGCTGACTCTCCACATATTCTCTTATCTTTTTCTCGATTAATAAACATCTCGATTTAAAATCGTAAGAGGTTTTCAAAGCGTTGCGGCAAGTGTTGCATATAACGGGGTTTGGGATCAAATCCAATGCCTACAAGTCGACGTTAAACCTATTTTGACAATTTTTTGACAAAATGGACTCACCATTTCCGGTATACACGTCGTCAATTGGTCTCTGTATGGCATAAATCCCGTGAAACTTTCCACGGCATTGATGTTAAAATATTTCGACCCTCTAGCCAATTTGACTAGACACAAACGACACACTTTTGTCATTTCGTCGAGTGGAGCGCTAAAAATCCGAAAACCTCAACAGTAATGTTATATAATCGATAAAAATGCCAGACTACGTTTTTAGCGAATAGTTTGACATTTTGAGATAAATGTCAAAGTGATATGTCGACATAAATGTCAAATGCCAATGACACTACGAATTTCTCTTTTGTCGTGTACTGAAAGAAACGATTAAAAAAGGACAGCCGTATACATTTGACTTGCGTCAAACAAAGATCGAAGAAATGAAAGGAACGGGAACGTTTGAACTACTGCCGCAACCAATTCATGTTCTCTGCCCATTTTGGGGAATGTCAACAAAAAAAAAAGTTTTGAGCGTGCGACAGATTTTACTTGTCAAAATATAGATTTAATTTTAGGCACTCACCTTTGCAAAAAATACGATTCCTCCACATCGCTGTCGGAAAAATCGAAATTTGCAATCAGTTCTCTTATTTCTTCACTAGTGAGATTATTAAAAGTCAGTTCACCAGATTCGTTTACAGCTTGCGCTTGGCCGTTATTAAAATTGATAAAATGTTCGCGAATGACACCTTCCTCCAGTAAAACTACGGGACACTTAACGTTTTTAACAAGTCTGTCTCGTGGCCTTGTTGAAATATTTAAAAAATTTGAATCGATTCTGGAGTTTAATTCATGACTATGGTCGAACGTAATCTAAAACAATATACCGTTCTAAAAATGTGTTAAGACCCTGACTCTCCAAGTACGTTGGGCTTCTAACTTGACTTATCAGATAACTATTGAAAACATATTTAACGATTTATTTTATTAATTCTTGTATTGAAAAGTCCTAGGATTTTTAAGTCCTCAACATCAGCTAAGTTTTAATCTACTAGTTTTTAAATTGGTTTTTATTTGCATATTTTGGGTACGGGAAAAAATATATTATATCAGACTCGATTAATCAGGGCCCAAACGTATTAAGGTTATTGACTCACATTTACGAAGACATTGTACCCCTGCTCCAAGAGTTTATCATTTTTTTTAGGATTTATAGTAATTTCCTTAAACACAAAATTAATTTTCGCGTTACAACTATCCTCCTTTGCTTTGACTTTGTTAAAACTATTCTGCTGACACTTGAACACTTTGCGATATAAATACTTCTTCGCAGACGGATAAGTGTACCGTACTATCCAATTTGTGTATGTCAGTGATCCAAATTCGGAAACGAAGTTATCGCAGTTCCGTCCATACTCTCTAGTGTCTTGTTTATATCTCACGGTGGCTTCGAAGTGAATCGGGGAGTACTCCAAATACCATTCCAACAGATAACTGTTTTTTTCGCACATTGCCTGCAGTATGTTTCTGTAATCCATGTTTATTTACACTGCCCAAATTGCCTCATACATAACCATTGCATATTTTAAGGTTAAAAAAATCGATTAAACTCGCTTATCGGTATCGAACTTCCTTATTCAACCGTAATTAGACAAAACTTACTTCCGCAGCGCAAACGGAAATCAATAGCTCGCAGTGCGGATTACAGCACATCATGCACGAAGTTACACACAGAAAACGACTTTAAAAAATTAGCTAAAATTGCATCTACTTTAAGTTGGATTCATATGGAGAAATTTTATTGTTGTTTTTATAATAACGTCGAAGAATAACGGCATGATATTCATGTTTTAAAAATCTTTATTTTTAGATACTTTTATATTTTATACTCAACAACACTGTCTTTTAGTGGTTCATGTATTTAACGATTTTAAGGGGGAACTGGAAGCAATCCTCGTGAATTTAATTTTATTAAACAAGCAAGGTTATTACAAATACGGTTAAACCACAGACCACTAAAAATTGGGTTCTATTGAACTACATTTATTCCAAATAGCGAAGATCATCGGCAGATTCAAAGCATATAAATACTAAAATTTTGAGGTGCCAACAGTTAAGAGGACGAAACGGAATTATAAATTAGTTGAAAAAAATTTTGCCGAATATACTCCACCTTCTGTGATGGTTTCGTTTCTGTCTACTTTTTAAAATATTATAGTAACAAATCGATATACACCATACCGAGGCCGTTTTTTAGTAAAAAAATTAGGTATAATACACTAAACCCAGATGATCGCGCAAATTTAGAATCGTCAATGGGAAAACAGAAGAGCGTTGGCGGTTTTGTCCTTTTTGCACGTTGATATGACGTCAGTGTGTGACCGCAGACAAAATATTACCTGAATTATGTTTACACAAAATGAAGGAGCGCTTTCAGTCACTTAATTCTTATGTCTATTATTGTTATTTGTAAAAAGCGTGGCAAGAAAACGTTTCTGCTTAAAACAGCCCCAACAAAAAAAAAACATTTCGCTGAATATGTAATAAATTATATTCCATTTATACACATAAACATTTCTGGACAAACGAACTCCAACACTCTCATAAAAATACTTTGCGCTACATTTCAATTTGTCGAACGACTCTACAAGAACTGCACCCCGATGCCGAACTGAATACCGGGATGCGTCTGGTCGCCCTTGTCAAATTTGTAGGGGAAACAGTAGTTTACCTCTAACCTGGCCATGTTGCCAAGTCTAAGAGCCACGCCTATGCCGTACGACATTCTGACGTTTGTTTTTAAGATCTCTATAAGGTCACCTTTTGAAATTTGCTCTGAAAACGGCAGCTTAGGTAGTATCATTTCGGTCGGTGTCACCACGTCTCACCTAAATTAAAATCTCCAACGTTGCCAGTATTGACGAACAAATGGGTACGAAAGAGATCGCCAAAAGTTCCCTGGCCGGGCCTAAAAGGCAGCGGGGTAAATATGTGCAAGCCGGCTGCCCAGTAAGCCGACGACCCCAAAGCGTCGCCGTCCGAATGGGGCCCGATTCCTCTGGTCTCGAAGCCTCGAACGGAGAGTGGACCTCCGAGGTAGCAGTTATCTGCTATTGTAATTCTTTTGTCGTTACTTAATCTGGACAGATAGCCTGCAGTGAAACAGGCCTGCAAAACCTTAAAAATAAAATGTTAGAGGACAATGTGGCCCCTATATACTGGAAGTGCACTCACAACATCCCCGAATAATGAATAATTGTCTTGAAAAAGCACTTCGTTCTTTAGAAAGCCCACATCACCACCTAGGCCGGCCAGTTCAGATGTTAACTGAACTAACGAGCCTGCACTGGGGAATATTAAATCGTCCCTGAGGTCCACACCGAGAATATGTTTCAATGACGATTTCATCGAAGCACCACACTGCTCGCGAACGCTGAACGAAGCTGCTCGAGTCAGAGTCGTGAGGTCTCTCAATGAGGCCTCCCATTGAAAATTATGTTTCAAGAGCGGACTAGAATACAGTCCCAAATCTAACAGGATGCCTCGTTCGAGCAGTTTGTAACCAGAATTCGGCCATTCAGAGTTTGAATTAAATATAGATGTCGTCAGTCTGAAAAGTTGAGCATTAGAGTAGGTAGTTGAATAAACAACAACCTACATAGGCCTATGTGTTCCCCTGAACGGCTTAAGGAATGATAAGTTAAAGTTACTAGTTTTCTTTGAACCGTGACTGTAATCGATTTGGACTCGCTCCCCTCTGCCGCACAAGTTTGGAGCTTTCATAGAAACGGTTAAAGTGCCCTCATTGTTACCTACATGCGTGCTGACTCCCCCAGTTACCCGTTTGTGTTCCTTGACATCAAAAGTAACTTCTAAACCATCGGCCGTAGCATTCGCTGCTTTATTCGTATCTATGTAAACACCGATGTTCTTAAAACATCCCAGTTCATCTAGTTTAACGCGGGCCTGCAATATGCTCCTAAAAATACTTCTGATTTGCCTTTCGAAATACCCACCTTATGTGCTTTTAACAGGACCTCCTGAAAATCCTTAGCTTTGAATAAATCTTTTATGCAATCTTCCACAATATCATTCTTGGTTCGTCCTAGTCCGTCGACGTTAACTCTATCGACTCGGGCCTAATCGAACATGTAAAATAAAAAAAATAACGCTTAACACTGCGAAACAGATCAGCATCAAGTCCAAAACTGCTTTTATAATAAAAAAGATTTTTTCTCACGATTCTTTTCACACTTTTCTGTAAACACATTATAGTTTAATTAAAAACCAAAATAAGGAAACAAGTCATAAACAATGTCAATCCTAAAGACCTAGGAAAACTGCCTGCGAACTCACATTTCATCTTTGCTCCTTTCCCGCTAGCGTTTTAAAGTTTCTGATTTTGTTAGATTATCATTTTGTCCTTTTCAATGCAGAGTTATTTACAATAAAACTCCAAGACTTATGAATTTTTTACTTACTTTAACTTTTTCCAGATCGATTTCTTTCGCTTGGTTTTCTTTTGTTGAGTCAGCTAATCCAGTTTTTTTTGCGAAATCTCCGACATTTCTGGCGGTGTCTTCAGGCACCTAAAACTTTTAGGTTACCAAATGTAAATTTAGAAATGATGGAAGTACGATACTTTCGCGTGCACTGTTCCCATTTTGGCTCTTCCACTAAAGGATTTCAATTAATGTAATTAGCCTGTCCATAAACATAAATGTATATTAACGTTGATAAAACTCAGAAAAACGATACCCAAAAAAAATTAAAAAATTGGGTTAGGCGGCCAACCCAAAAATTTGACACTTGTCGTTTTTCAAATTCAGAGATCGTTTCATCCAAATTATAGAAGGCCTAAGAGCTAAGCAGTGACGTCTCGTATCCCCTTTGCAACTGGTTTCATAGGATAAGAGGTTTAGGTGTTTTGTGATCCCACAACGATAGCCGTGGATGTTGGTGTTAAAATATCCTTTGTATTTCTCAATGATTATTAAATCAATTACAAAACAAAATATTTTGATAATCGATTTCTAGTCGTAACATATATAGAAGGTGGATACCATTAAAAGAATAATAAAATCCATTAACACACAACACTATATTAAAAAACAATTGTTTTATACAGTAAAAAGAAACGCAAAGTTATTCGTTATTTTTTTCCACCTGAAATGAAAAACATTCACGCTGCATCATCCCTATCATCCTTATATTCATGTTTACCTTTTTTATTTACCGTTTTTGGTTTAGAATCCTTGCCCCCAGTGGTATTTTGTTCGGCAGCTTTACCTACAGACGCAGATTTTTTCTAAAAAAATGTTAAATATATTTATATATGCATTTTTTTGTTTTTATGTTCTAGTTAATTATTTATAGGACGAAAAATAAAGACTTACGTCTTGTGTAGCGGGGGTGTTGCCTCCCTTATTACCTCCTTTGCCTTTACCCATTTTTTGAATACGTTATTACTTAGAAAAGACCATCAAATTGTGGGACAAATACTGCAACATCTGGCTGTCGGCCCAGTTATAAAAACAAACTTATCTATTTTGGAAAATTATTTGGCATCGTCCAATAAAAAATGTTTGTAACTTAACTTTGAACCATAGAAAAAGGAGAACGTTCAAAACAAACTCAGGATAGAAATTATACGGTTTTTTCACAAGAATCGTAAACCTAATAGGATTGCCTAATCGGCCAAATGTGTCCGCAAATGCAACTCGAAAACTTTCGCTGGCTGTGACGTAGCAAGTCCTGTTTTGGCGCGTTTACTATGTAAATGCATGGAAATAATCTGAAACTGACCCGAGTTTTGATGGACTTCGAGTATTTTGTACTTATTTAATAATGATTGGGAGGTAGCGTACGGTAGGGTCTCAGGTAGGGTAAAAATAATACTATTGCAATCATGTTTGGCTTATATGTATTATCTTGAAATACATATATTAATTAAATATTGTGACACATAAATACATAAAACTAGCGAACAAAACGATTTACTTAAATTTTAGGTTTACCTTTAAAAAAGAATCTAAAAAAACTGCTGTTCCCAACCTATTATTATTTAACCAGAAGCCACCAACAGAAGCAGGATTATCTAGATCAAAAAGACTGCCAAATAAACCTTGTTGTCGTTCCAGTCAAACTACTGACGTAGACCTTATGAGACTTAATTATTCTCATGTGATAACGATAATGTAATGACCTTTGATATTCTTCTCAATAACTGAAACCGTCTTGCTCTTCGGACAAAAATTATTTTGACCAATTAATCGTTCCAGGGTGAATGCGACTGACAATAAAGAAACCTTTCTGTTATCTGTGGTATGATTGTACGCAATATGGTACCAATTTTTTCGGATGTACACGAATTTGGTTTAATGTTTTCTTGTAAAACTCGAATTATTGGTATATCGAATTATTAAATATTTATCGTACATCACGATAGTGGAAATTTTGAATTTGTTTCTCCTTCGAATAAAATCGAAATATCTGACACATGCGAATTTTTGCTTCAAAAAATGTCTGATTCAGAGGCTAGTAACTACTCGGAAAACGACAATGCATCTGATGCCGGTTCGGTACGTTCCAGGAGTTCCAGAGGATCTGTGAGAAGCAGATCCAGATCCCCTTCAAGAAGTCTCTCCAGAAGTAGATCTCGTAGTAGAAGTAGATCTAGAAGTAGGAGCAGAAGTCGCTCTGTGAGATCCGGAGGGTAGTATTTGAGCAATCCGTCTAAGAGAGGCAATTATTTATATTTTTCAGCTCCGAAGCTCGAGAAAACTCAGAGCCCGAAGAAGTTGGAGAAGAAGAGGAACCTGAGGGTCAAAGTCTTCACTCAGAAGATGAATATGATAGTGAGGAGGAAGATAGTGATGAAGGCGGTCGTTCCAAGAAAAAAAAGAAGAAGGATCGTTATGGAGGTTTTATTATTGACGAGGCTGAAGTAGATGATGAAGTTGAAGATGAAGAAGATTGGGAGGATGGAGCGCAGGAAATTGGTATTATGTCAAATGAACTGGAGGAGTTTGGCCCTACTGCGAGAGAAATTGAAGGGAGAATTCGAGGAACAAACCTGTGGGAGTAAGTTTTTTAAATTTAAATACCAAGTCGAGTTTATAAAATGTTGTGAATTTTACTTCCCAGTGCACAAAAAGAACATGAGATAGAGGAATATCTTCGTAAGAAATATGCAGATGATGGGGCCGCTATTAAAAGATTTGGAGACGGCGGGGAAGAAATGTCTGATGAAATTACTCAACAGACTCTATTGCCTGGGGTTAAGTGAGTGGATGTTACTGTTGTTTCATCATATATCTGGTATATTTTCATTAACTCTATAGGGACCCTAATTTATGGATGGTGAAGTGTCGTATTGGTGAAGAAAAAGCAACTTGTCTATTGCTGATGCGCAAGTTTCTTGCTTTCCAAAGTAGCAGTGATCCACTTCAAATTAAATCCGTAGTGGCTCCTGAGGGTGTAAAGGGTTACATTTACATAGAAGCTTACAAGCATCCTCATGTTAAGGCAGCCATAGAAAACGTAAGAAACTTGCAAATGGGCAAATGGAAGCAGCAGATGGTGCCAATTAAAGAAATGACTGATGTGTTGAGAGTCGTTAAAGAGCAGACCGGTAAACAACTTATAAAATAAAATGCTAAAGTAAAAGTTGGGAGTTGTAGGTCTTAAATCAAAGCAATGGGTGCGCCTCAAGCGTGGCCTTTATAAGGACGATATTGCCCAAGTAGATTACTTCGATATGGCACAAAATCAAGTGCATTTAAAGATTTTGCCCAGGATTGACTACACCCGCCTCAGAGGGGCACTAAGAACAACTCAGACGGTAAGTCCTGGAGTTGAGTAATATACCATTTTCACAATAAAATTAAAATTACATTCTTCATGTCAGCTTTAGATTCTTTACTGGAAAAGCTTAATTTTGATTAATTATTTTTCAACAGCTCATCATTTTGAAAAGTTGAAAAAATCGATTTTATTTTTATATTAATTTGGATAAATTAAAACTTATTTTGGTCGATTCATCTGGTACAGCATGGTGATTAGTAACTATTATCATCTATATTAACGCTTTAGATATAAAAATAACAATAAACATTGAACACTATTCATTATAATTGACAGAAAAATAAAACGTTTAGGAATAACAATGGATATATAAATAATATTTAATAAACATTTACAAACAGTAGTAAACAACCTAACGCCATTAATTTCCAAATTCAATAAATAAATGGCACCAAATGTTAGTGCAGTTACTTTTACAATATGGTATTTTGTGAAGGGGGATCTCAAAAATTGGAAATTATGCAAAAAAATTAGTATTTTCAAAAACAAAACGGAACCACAAAATATAATTCATTCTTACGATACGAGAAATAGAAAAAATTGAAATTTTCTAACAAATAAGTGTAAAAAATAAATAGACCAAATATCTTACATATTTTTGTAGGCCTATTTTTCTAATTTTCTAGATAAGGATTTTAGGCAGAGATTCATAATTTTAACAGCACTAAGTTCTTTTTAAATACACCTTAAAAAATGGATTCTATCTGTAAGCCTCCAAGCAATAAACAACTTAATAAATATAAATACATAAAGAACAAACAGTAAACGAAATATGAGAAAAAAATATATATACAAAAATAAATTTAAAGAAAGGGGACAATGTGGAAAATAAAAAGTAGAGTTTTGTGTAAATTTAAAGTAACATCCCGAATCACTGAGCCCAGAATTGATACACCTTACATTTGCTATTCTCTCTAATAATAATAATAAATAAAGAATACTAGCGTTATCCTTCCTTACATTCAAAATATCACATATCTTAAGAAATATAACGTCAAAACCAGATTTAGTAATTGTCCTAAAATCTCGTTTGAGGCTGGCCAGCCAAAAATACGGTCAACTTCGTAACACCCCTCCTTTAGCTCCGCCCCCATTAAACGATGTATAGAGCAGAACGCGAGCCAGAAGTTTTGTAAATAGATAGACGTTTGTATCGACACAAACGCCTCCGGCTGTATTGTTTCAAGTGATTTGGGGATGGGATCTGGTTTTAAGAGTTTTTTGAAAAATTAGTTATGATTTGTTTCATTTGCTTTGTATTTAAGTTATATGTTGCTTGTTCAAAAGTCACTTTTGTTTTTGTCCCATAGACTATTTCTATTTATTGTAAATACGGTTTTCAGTTTTCACCGCTTCGTTTTGTGTTCTCTGTAATTCATTTTGCGGATAGGTGGGAAATGATATTTCGAAAGTGCGCCGTTGGTTTCAGCCGGGTATCATTTTTCAGGAGTCGGAAAACGAGAAACGCAAAAAGAAACGCCGCCCCCCCGCGAAGCCCTTCGATCCGGAGGCGGTCCGCGCGATCGGGGGCGAGGTCACCTCCGACGGCGACTTCCTCATCTTCGAGGGCAACCGTTACTCTCGGAAGGGTTTCCTCTACAAAAACTTCATCCTCAGCGCGGTGATAGTAGACGGGGTGAAACCCACGCTGGCCGAGTTGGAACGTTTCGAGGAGCAGCCCGAAGGTATCGACTTGGAGTTACCTTCCGAGAAGGCGGACAAGGCGGTTTCGCATTCGTTCAGCGCCGGCGACAACGTGGAGGTGTGCGAGGGCGAGTTGATCAATCTCCAGGGGAAGATTTTGAGCATAGACGGGCCCACGATCATGGTGATGCCGAAACACGAGGACCTGAAGGACCCGCTCATATTTCAAGCGTCCGAGCTGAAGAAGTACTTCAAGATGGGCGACCACGTAAAGGTGTTGGCCGGCAGGTACGAGGGCGACACCGGATTGGTGGTCCGGGTCGAGAACAATCGCGTCGTGTTGATCTCCGACCTCACGATGCACGAAATGGAGGTCCTGCCCAAAGATTTGCAGCTGTGCAGCGACATGGCCAGCGGCGTCGACTCGTTGGGGAAATTCGAATGGGGGGATCTGGTCAATCTGGACGCGGAAACGGTCGGGGTGATCGTCAGGTTGGAACGGGAGAATTTCCACGTCTTGAACATGCACGGTGAGGTTTCGGTCCCCATTATCTGTATACAGGGTTATTCATTACCTACTACTATTTTTATATAAAATAAAAATATGTACGTCCCTTCTGCTTATAGAGTACTCATTTTCTGGTCTCTAGAGGGCACTTTATAACCGGAGTTCACTTTATAGATCTTTTAATCCTCGTTTAATTAACGCGTAAAACATAATCACTCAGAGGAGCAGACCTCATTTTTAAGTAAGTAGTTCTTTACGACCCTAGCGAAGCCAAGTCAAGATTCTCGATTGCTTGACGCAGAATATTGTAAAATTTTATCAGTAGCTAAGAATCAAATTATTCTGCGCACAATTTAAGGTGGATGCGCAGGGGAAAGTTTTAGTGGTCATTTGATTGCAGGCAAAGTTGTCGTGCTTGAAGCAGAATATTGTAAAATTTTATCAGTAGCCAAGAATCAAATTATTCTGCGCACAATTTAAGGTGGATGCGCAGGGGAAAGTTTTAGTGGTCATTTGATTGCAGGCAAAGTTGTCGTGCTTGAAGCAGAATATTGTAAAATTTTATCAGTAGCCAAGAATCAAATTATTCTGCGCACAATTTAAGGTGGATGCGCAGGGGAAAGTTTTAGTGGTCATTTGATTGCAGGCAAAGTTGTCGTGCTTGAAGCAGAATATTGTAAAATTTTATCAGTAGCCAAGAATCAAATTATTCTGCGCACAATTTAAGGTGGATGCGCAGGGGAAAGTTTTAGTGGTCATTTGATTGCAGGCAAAGTTGTCGTGCTTGAAGCAGAATATTGTAAAATTTTATCAGTAGCCAAGAATCAAATTATTCTGCGCACGATTTAAGGTGGATGCGCAGGGGAAAGTTTTAGTGGTCATTTGATTGCAGGCAAAGTTGTCGTGCTTGAAGCAGAATATTGTAAAATTTTATCAGTAGCCAAGAATCAAATTATTCTGCGCACGATTTAAGGTGGATGCGCAGGGGAAAGTTTTAGTGGTCATTTGATTGCAGGCAAAGTTGTCGTGCTTGAAGCAGAATATTGTAAAATTTTATCAGTAGCCAAGAATCAAATTATTCTGCGCACGATTTAAGGTGGATGCGCAGGGGAAAGTTTTAGTGGTCATTTGATTGCAGGCAAAGTTGTCGTGCTTGAAGCAGAATATTGTAAAATTTTATCAGTAGCCAAGAATCAAATTATTCTGCGCACAATTTAAGGTGGATGCGCAGGAGAAAGTTTTAGTGGTCATTTGATTGCAGGCAAAGTTGTCGTGCTTGAAGCAGAATATTGTAAAATTTTATCAGTAGCCAAGAATCAAATTATTCTGCGCACAATTTAAGGTGGATGCGCGGGGGAAAGTTTTAGTGGTCATTTGATTGCAGGCAAAGTTGTCGTGCTTGAAGCAGAATATTGTAAAATTTTATCAGTAGCCAAGAATCAAATTATTCTGCGCACAATTTAAGGTGGATGCGCAGGGGAAAGTTTTAGTGGTCATTTGATTGCAGGCAAAGTTGTCGAGTGTCGTCCCGGTTCCTTGCAGAAACGACGGATCAATCGTTTTACGGCCGCTTTGGATTCGTATAGGAACAGTTTACATCGTCGCGACATGGTTAAGGTAACATTTCGTAGATAATATAAGGGAGGCCCAACAAGAAACGCTTATTTGTTTTAACTCATACATTCCTTTAAACAAATTGCATTGGGCATTTTAAAAAGGCCGGGGAATCATGTCTGTAATGACGTCATATGACAGTAAATAATTATCCATCGTCGATTTAAACAAAAAGTTGAAAAAACAGTAACAAAAACTTCAGTAATGTAATTTTACAATTACAATTATAAAAAATTAAAAAAGTATTACAGTTCAAGTTTTACAATGGAAAATGCAAATTGGACTCGTACAAGTAATAAAAGTATCAGTAAATTTATCTAATTATCTCTCTCTACCTCTCACCATGCTCACCTGATACGAGATATTCGGGAAACAAATCTACATGGGATTCCAAAAAATTAATTTTAAGGGTCATATTGTATCCGAAAACTTTGTAAACAGAAATGAGCTCTCGAATGATGAAGTTGTGAGGTTTAGTATTCCCAAAAAAATGATGACATACATTTTCAAAAGCCACCCAAGATTTTGTCTGCTTTGTGAAAAAATTCCTTCTTTCAATTTTGCGTCATTGATTCCAGGAAATATTGTTTTGAGATATTAAAAGCCTGCACCATGCTGGTTCATAGCTTTCACAAAGTTTTTCATTAATGGTGAAGTGATGGTAGAAAATTGGCACTAAACTTTTATGAGATATATTTTTGAGTCCAGGAGTCAGGCTTTTTCCATGTGACCAAGTTTTGACTTTGTAATGTTTTTCTGTTGTGCGGCTGTCCCACTCGCATAGAAAACAACAGAACCTGCTTATCAGAATTTTCTGGAAAACTAAGTTCTTGAAGAAGCCCGACAGCATCATTACAATATATTAAATCATCTTGCTTCGAAAAGTGACTCGTGGAATCTTGTTGTCTTGTGCGAAAATCATCCCCATCACGTTTCGTCCCGATGCAGGTCATTGATGGTCCTCATTCGGGCTTCTCTGGCGAGATCAAGCACCTCTATCGCAACTTCGCCTTCCTGTACTCCGTCGAGTTTCTTCAGAACGGCGGCATCTTCGTGTGCAAAACCAAACACCTCCAGTTGCCTGGAGGCAACAAAGTGGCGCCATCTGCCGATGCTTTGTCGACCGGCATGGAGTTTATGTCGCCCAGAAGAAGTTCACCTTTGCACCCGTCCAGCGGAATCGCTGGTGGAGGAGGCGGCGGCGGCGGCGGCGGTGGTGGCGGTAAGGCTTACATTCATTTACTTCTTTGTAGTTCTCGTTAAAAACGTAATCGTAGTTTTATACAGGGTGTCCGAATAGTGTGTCAAAGTAATATATCTCATTTATTGTTTGTTTGCGAAAAAAATGTTAAATGCAAAAGTTGTAGATAAAACCAAAATAAACAACTTAAAATTGTTTTCAAATATACAGGGTGATTCGTAAATATTGAGAATTGTCTGGAAGTGTTAGTTCGAAACGTTTATATAGTTTGTACACTTCCATTAATACCTCGTATTTATTTGCGAGGTCAAAACACTCCAATATCAAGGCACTTAGTGAAGGCTAAGTGAAGCAAGAAATTGCCGCAAAACTTAATGTTTCAAATTTTAAAGAGACATGTGATAAGTTTTAAGTGTATTTCCAGAGAAGGGCATTTAAAAAATATCACAAAAGACTGAGAACAAAATAAATGTTACCTGAACGCGAAAACTCCACAGAGATTTATAAAAAAAAAATCAAATAGTATATCATGAAGCCATACCTAAAGATTAAAGATTCTAGAAGAAAATCGGTATAATTTTTCAAAGAATCTGCTGACATTTCCCCAATTATCAGTCGGCTTCTTCATTGAACGTTTAAAAACCATTAAATACATCTTTACTAAAGTCAATGCTGCGATTGCCACATTCGGGTTATTCAAAAACCAAAAAGTTTTCTGAAGTATTTTAATGGTGTGACCTAATTATCGCCAACAACTAAAAATATAATAAAATATAAACGCAACATTAATTCAGATATGTGCTAAATTGTGCGAAAATCGAATACGTCAGTCCGATAAAAGTTATTTTTGTTTTTGCCATACAAAATCTGGAACCAAATCTTCTCATGTTAATTGAAAAATGCTTGTCCGGAACATATTTCTCCTGTAACTGTCAAATTTATGAACAATAAACAGCTATGGGTTCTCCATTATTACCAGTCATGGCGAATATGTTGATGGAAACCTTTCAGAGGAAAGCCATTGACGTGTTTTATCTAAAACCACAATTATGGAAATACTATGTTGACGATACTTTTGTTATTAAGCCTCGTGGTCAACAGATTTACCAATTGTACGAACATTTCTCAACATTGTCGATTTGCCAAAGACAAATATCAGTAACGCTCAAAGAATGACAAATAAACATAATAAAACTAAATTCTTGTAATCAATTCTTCTAACAGAGAAAAATTCGAGAATCTTAACCGCTACTCAGGTCGATGTTCGCGCCCCTCCTTTAGCTCCGCCCCCCTCAAACCGTACATAAGCGGGTGCCAGGTATGACGGTATAATTTTTGACTTGTTTTAGGCATGGGCGGATTCGGGGGGCCCAGGCCGGGCGGCGGGGGCCGAGGCAGGGTTACCCGCGACAGGGACATAATCGGGACCACCATCAAGATTACTAGGGGTCCCTACAAGGGCAACATCGGGATAGTGAAAGATGCCACCCAGGGTACCGTTCGAATCGAATTGCACACGTCCTGTCAGGTAGCGTACCGTTTAATTAACACTAATATTTTATTTATTTATTTATTTATTAAAAATAATATGTCTTTTTGGGCTACTAGCTGGAACATGGAATGTGGATTTTTTTTTCAAAATTTCCACGTATTAGTGGATACTCTATATTGTTAGCAATGGGTTTTATTCGTATATCTGAAGGATTATATCTTTAAAGGAAGTACTTTGCTATTTATAAAAATACCTAATATTACCAACAAGTTACCTAACGTGGGCAGCTTTAAATTCAACAAGAATTTATACGGGTGTTATGTAAAACCTCGAATATGTCAAAAAGGTAAATAACATTTACATATAAGATAAATTACATACTTGCCTTACTTTTTGTCCTAGAATTGATATCTGAAAAAAAGAATCGGGTGTTCAATTTGGAAATGTTCAGATTCGCCAAAACGGCACCACCCATTTGGGACGTCACAACACAATTTTATATGAGACAATCAAAATATCAAAAAAACAAATCACAACCTCAATCTCTGCCTAAACTGGCCAAAATCCGAATAGGAATTTCTTAAGGAAGTGACCTTTCTTTTAACGAAAGATTCCGAAAATGTCGAAATATACATATATATATATATATATATATATATATATATATATATATATATATATATATATATATATATATATATATATATATATATATATATATATATATATATATATATATATATATATATATATTCTTAAGAAATGGTTCTTGGGTTTTTTTTGGTCCTTCTTTAGTGAAATTAAAATAAGTTTCCGTTACTTGTGAAACATTTTATTTTTTGTGACGTTTCGGCCTTCAAGACCTTCTTCAGACATTTAATTTTAACCTTAAGCCAAAAATCAACGGTTCACTATATAGTTGTTTGGTAATTTACAGTTTTACAACATTCACAACAGACATATTGAATATGTAAATCGACAAGCCACATTGATAAGACGACGAACCAAAACAATTTATTAACGACGACGAACCAAAACATGTCTCATGTCTCATCAGTACAAACAAAACAACATTGAAGGTCAGGAAATGTAATCCTCTTAAAAGCCCTATCCTTGGATGATTTTCCTTCTAATTACAGTCTTTTTCTTTAAATAAACTACTTAATGATCGATTGTAAAAGTTAAATAAACAACATAATAATAAAATAATCCGTGATTATTTTTAATTTGCCAAATCGATCGATCGTAGAAAAAGTATTATAGTATGCAACACGTTTGATAAACTCCTTATCTCACTCGTTTATTAAATTCGTGAGTAAAATGCTGTTTACCGCACTCGTTGATAATATACTATTAAAATCGTAAGCCTCATTCTACGCTTGCGGGAAACAGCCTGTAGCGTAACGATCGAAATTCGCAGACGATATCGGTGGACCGCAACCACATCGCCGACGTAGGCACGCCGGCCAGAGACGGCAGCATCTCGAGCTACGGCCGCACCCCGGCCTACTCCGGGAACCAGACGCCATTGTACCGCGACACCGGCAACAAGACCCCGATGTGCGATTCCGGATCCCGCACGCCACTGCATTACGGCTCGATGACGCCCATTCACGACGGCTCGAGGACGCCGAACGCGAGCTCAGAATGGGACCCGAGCGTGCCCAACACTTACCCTTCGCCCGGATACAACCCCAGCACTCCTGCGTACCAGATGAACGCGCCTTTCACTCCTCAAACTCCGGGCAGCACCATGTACGATCAAACGTATAGCCCGTACCAGGCAAGTCCGGGATACCAGAGCGCCATATCCACTCCGTCACCGACCACTGGCTACGGTCAGTCCCCGGCCAGCAACAATCCGTACAGTACGCCCAGTTCCGGGTACAGCCCGAGCGTGCCTTACAATCCGCAGACTCCGGGCTCCGGACTCGACGTCCTTCCGATGAGCGATTGGCACACGGTCGATATCGAGGTCAGAATCCGGGACAGTCACGACGACCCCGGCCTGGTCGGTCAGACCGGAGTCATCCGAAGCATTTCCGGAGCGATGTGTTCGGTGTTTTTGCCGGAAGAAGATCGCACGGTTAATATCGTAGCCGACCATTTGGATCCGGTCAGACCGCAACGCGGTGACCAGTTCAAGGTGATCGTGGGGGAGGAGCGAGAGCAGACGGGCGAGCTCCTGTCGATCGACGCCCACGAGGGCGTGGTCAAGTTTAAGAACGACATTACGATGTTGCCGTTGCAGAACTTGTGCAAGATGCGCAGGATGGAGCGTTAGATCGACTTTTTTTAGGAAAGGAACAGTAAGTTTAGTTATTTGACACGAAGTTTTCAGTTTGTAGCTTGAAACGAGTAATCATGTATCGCTGATGTTAAATAAAGCAAAGTTTAGGGTCCTCGGTGGTTTTTATTTGTTGTGTGTGACCAATTGCAAAACCCAAACCTAAAATTATTTTTGGCGCCATTGAGCCAAAATTTGGTTTGTGCGTCAGAAATAACAAAGCGTGTTGCAAAAGTTTTGAAATATTTCTTTACCTATTAAAATTGACTTTTTTTATTTAAAATGTAGATTATTCTTAAAAATATCGAAATACTTTATAGAGATAGATAAATTTAATCGAAAACACTATTAAAGTATTTAATCTAATCGGTCTAAACATTTGGATCCCTATTTGGTTAAATTAAGGTAGAGAACTTGAAACGAAGCAACTTTTTCACAAATTGATTTATTAATTAGTTTTAGTGCATGAAATACATCATTCATCAAATTCATCAATTTCGAGATGGAGTTATTTTTTTTGATCAGTTTTTAAACCGATATTTGGAATGGATATATTAGAAAATTACATCAGGCTAGAATCTATAAATTAGTTGAAATGGACAGTTTGTAAACAAATCATATTCCGAGTAATAACTACAATTGTTGGTTGGTTTTCTACCATAAATATGAACTGAGGTGGCCTTTGATTGATGAAAAGCCATTTATCAATATAAATACTAAAACAGATTTTCAATTAGCAATAAATTATTGTTTTTAAAATGATAAAATTGATTTTTATTGGTTTAAATGCCCAACTCTAAAAGAGTCGAGCTCCACAAATTGGCTATAGACTCATTTATGTTGTCCCCCGCCACGGAAATCTTTAGTAAAAGGCGAAAGATTTATTCGCTCTGACGGGAGACCAGAGTGCCGAGTTACAATTCGGAAAGGTACTTATACTCGCTCTGACGGACCGCGGCAGCACAGAACACCACCTGCGACATCCGTCGGGTGATCGAGGACTTACTTGATTAAAGGTTCATCCACTCCGTTTGATTAGGCAACTTGTTACACATCAGTATTAAGAAAAGGGTTTTTCAACGAAAAGTGATTCGGTTACCAAAATGTGTTGGTTGGCTGATGCAGTTTCAAAATAATAGTAAACAAAAAATTATGGATATAAACTTTCTTGGGTTATTTAAAATTAATTTTATGGAAAACATAACTTACTGACGTGAATTACCAATCTGTGATATTCTATTTCGAGCATGCCTTTCACCCAATAACATGCACGTTGCGCCATTTTCTCTCTAAACAGTGATTTCCACACACTTCTCTAGTAGCTATATGGTTTCGACGTAGCCTCATGACGTCATTCAACTGTTTTACTATATGAAAAAAAGATAATTTTGGAAATAGCTACAACGGAAACTTTAATCGAGCCACTTTCACATATAAATAGTACCAATAGTACGAAAAATAAAAAGTCAAGATTATTTAATAAATTAATTTATTCTGGGATCACTGGTAAAAAAAATACTACGCCACGTGATAATTTACATGATAATAGTGTGTATGTAGTAGGTGTTACGCCTGAAAAAAAAAACTTCACTAAAAATTGATACGACATATCACAATTTGTATTACAGTTCAATTTGAGAAAGTAGTCTTGTGACGAAAATAATGTAGTCAATTATTGACAAGGAAGGAGGTAGGAATATAAAGATAAAGAGAGAGAGGAAGAGAAGTAGAGAAATAAAATACAGACAATAGACGAGTCGATGAAACTGAAAATAAATAGGAAATAATAAGAAAAAGGTGTTGTGGGTGAATAAAGATTTAACTTTCTTCTAACAAGTTTCAAGAGTGAGGAAATTTAAGCTGCTTTCGGTGTGGTGGTAGTTTCGATTTCTTCCGGAACCGGCGCCACTGTCGGGATCTCGGGATACTCTAGTTTCGCACCCTCCTCGCATTTGAACGCGGGGCAGCAGTTGGGGAATTCCGCGGTCTTGTTGGTTTTTTCTATAAAATAAACGATATTTATCACCAATTAGAAACGAGATATTACTTAAGATTCGGTACCTTCGTCGAGTTTGCATTTGGGGTTCGCGAGAGGGAGCGGTCCGCAGTCTTCGACGAGCTCCAAGAGCCTTGGCGGTGTGTCCTCGGAAACTACGCAAGTGGAACGGCCGCAGAAGGGGGTGAGCTCCCAGGTTTTTCCCGGCTCAACAGTAGCGCATTTGGTGGAAGCGAAGCACATGCCCGGGAAATCTGAAAACAACATGGGGCAATGAGCTCTCGCCTCGTTCTACGATTGTGAATAAACGGTAGACCTTGTGTGGTCACGAATAATTTTCTATTTCGTAGTTAACATTGTGCGAGTAACATAATTAATAATAGCATTACGAGTTGCAACAGTGGGCAATCCATCAAAATTGCGCGAATTGCTGGTTGCATGCATTCGTTTCACAATTTTCTTTATAACTTCATCCTGCCGTTTTCGCAATTTGCCGTTTACCAACGCGCACGATTGTTTTTTCAGAGTATAAGATATTTTTCGATTTCTAAAACCCGTTTTCTTAATATTTTATTAAAGAATATCAGTTGATAAAGTGCAGAGACGCTGGTTTTTGCAAAAGCTCGAAGAGGCATGTAGAGCAGAATTTTCTTTCTTAATACTCAACACTAATAGGAAAACTGTTATTTTTAATCCAAGTAAACAAAAAACATTAGGCACATAATAAACAGCGACATTTTATCTTATTATCAAGTGCAAACGGATTCGATGTATGCAACCAGTTATACGCGGTAAAATTCAACGGACGCCTTTGTGTGGTGGACTTCGGGTTCTCGCGATTTTTCTGTGGCGCCACAACACCCAATTTACTAAAACATCCCTCTTGCTTTTTCGAGACACTGTGTAGCTATTTTTAGCACAAACGAAAGGAAATCTGTCTCGTTCGGCGTTTCCAATTGGGAAATTAGCCACGCCACCCGAACAGGCCCGCATTGTGAAAGTTCACCGGCCTGGAAAACGCAATTTTTTTCAACAATAACCTTTGTAACGTGATTCACGCGGGATGTGGGGTTTGTCGAAGTCCGCGTCGATCTTGAATTTTTTGGCGAAACAATAAACTGGGAACTATCATGATATTACACGAACACGATTTACGATTTCCGCTGCCGCGGCACTACCACGAAAGAGCAATTTTTAATTGGATATATACTTGTGCGTATTTTTATAGATTGCAATTGAAAATGAAACATATTGCAAGTTGTAGTGTAGTTGTGGTTGCACACTGGAATTATAGGTATTAATTTATTATGCTTAAATAGTTTTGGTCGGAAAAATTCTACAGAAATACTGAATTGTCACCGGCCGTGTTGTTTCCTGAATGCCGCAAGGTCCTATTGGTTAAAAGCAAGGTTTGCGCAGACGCATAATGAATCTCGCGTCCTAACATGTTTTAATATGGGCTTCAAAAGTGCCGTATAGGCTATTTAGCGCAACAGCAAGAAATCCGATTTTTAAAAATATTTAATAATACAGCATTCCTATATGTGTTTATTAAGATACATATAAAATAATAGTGATTCAATTATTCATGATCTCATTATAATAACTTTTTTGTAAGTTCGTTTTCTTCTAATTCTGTGCCATTTTAAAATTTAAATTGATACTTTCGTTGATGTTGATAACATATTTCACAAAGTGAATGAAAAACGAAAAAATTAAGAAAAAACATAACTTGACAATGACAAATACAAGACCTCTGTCATTCTATGGGGTATTTGATATTTTTAGGAAGATAATTATACCACGCTGACGTGATTATCATTTCGGTTGTAAACTGTTGTAAACTTTCACTCTATTAAACTTTTACTTCAAAAATCGGATTTGTAGGACACTTCGTTAATGCCGCAGAACTGCTCTTGCAATTCTCGCTTCTACGTTTCCGTGCTGATTTTGCGGGACGCTTAAAACGGCTGAGATTCGTATCTATATGGGTAAAGCACATTATATAACGTTTATATAACGTTTTTCTATCGGCCGTGGTCTGTACATTTACCTGTTTCATTCGTACGTCTTTTTTTGGTCAGCCGTGTTTGTAGGCTTCGACCATAGTTCGCTTTTGGTTAGTTAGAACCTTGCGATTTAGGACTCGAACGGCAAGAAAACAAAATTTGAGTAAAAGCTTGATTTTGCGCAAATTGCAGCGGGTCTTGTCAAAAACGAATTCTGCACTGGCATAATTTTCCATTCGAGCTTTTGTGCGGACTCTTATTTATATGCATATGGGAAACTATTTTCCCAGAAAATCCCGCAGTTCCTCTTTGAATTGTTTCGCGAATTTACATATCCTACATCAGCGGCGTACAAATCACAAGTAATTGAAAGTTCGTTATTATAATCATCTAATCTACCTTCTACATCTATTTAGAAGAAATAAGTTTGTTTGTGACTTTAGGATGTAATGTAATGTACGCCAATTTTTTCATACTAGTGTAAATCCAGACAAAAATTTAAATTTTAAATTTTTACTTGACGCAAACGTTAATTGTAATTTTTTTTAAACAATTACAAGAAATACTAACATTTAAAGAATATTCTTAATTAGATCGGCAATAAATAAATAGAAGCTAAATATTTCCTTCTTCTTCTAAGAAATGTTTATATGACACAGTAATTGCTAATATTTCAAACCATCGTAATACTATTTACAAGTCTGTGAATTTCCGGATGACTTTTTGGGTTTCACCATATGGCTGTTAGATAATATAGTGATTCCACTATGGCAAAAACTCATGAGAAGGTTATGATTTTCCGCACATGCCTCTACGTTTCACCCACTAACCTACACTTTGGGTCATTTTAGAACATTTAGCGAGATCCAGGCATAGTTTGAGAAAAAACTTTGGTAAAAAAGCCGCATCCAAACTTATTGACCATCTGTCAGCAATCATGTTGGGCGTTGATTGTTTGGTTGTGTGAGAAACGTATGGAATGCAAGCAAACGTCTTAATCACTTTACTGTCAAAAAATTAAAAGCAAAAAATAGATGTCTGGACACATAACGTCATTTTATTTCGTTTCATACTTGAAGGAAGGTACGCATCGACGTAATGGATCAAAATACTTAACAATTTGCAAAAAACATATATTAAATTAGTTTGACTTTTAAAAATTGTTTTCTATTAACAAGAAAATATTCCTAACAGCTAATTTACGATCTCGTCGCGCCGCTGGATCCCAAAACGCGCACATTAGGTTTATTCATATGCAAAGTGAGCCCCTATAAACGTTAACAGCTCGTTAGGTCTTCGGAAATATTGTTAAAATTCATTTCGGCCGTCGACCAAAGTTCCCTCAGAGCAAATTCAAACAATGTAAAACGCCGGACCTCAACATTTGACGTCGCCGTATTTTTCCGCGCGACCGACATTAACGCCATTTGCGAACGGTTGTTGCCGCCCTGTTTTGCGGTCGTAAACAACGCGACAGAATTGCAAGATTTGCATTTCTATGCAAAACGCAACCTTGGAAGTAGCGCAGTGCCATGAAAGTGAAGCGATGGCAATTTTGCAACGGAAACTATAACACGCTTTTCATACGTTTGAAATTAAAACAGAGTAGATAGAAAAATATCCATTAAAAACATTACATAACATTTTTAATGTCAGTCAGAGAAATATAATCTATTCTATCCCAATGTTTGTGAACTAGAAATATTGCCTTAATGGAAATGAATAAATGGATCTTCATTCGTTATTCGTCTTTTCACGTTTTTCGACATTTAAGCTTGGCTTTTATTTTGTTCGTGTGTGTATGGTCTATGTATTCGTGTGAAGTATCTAGTACTCCGAAGAACAAAATACTAAAGAACCACTACTAACAGAGTCACGAAAATGGACGATTTGACTAACCAAAACTCCTAGATTTTTTCCAAGTTTAAAGAAAAATTGTAATTTGTTTATAGTCGAATTTGCAGGATTTTGCAGGAGTTTTGCTATTTTCAATGGTTAGTGTGACTATTAATTTATTCACTACTCGATCAATATCTATATAAATAACGTAGTTTGACGAATTTGTGAGTTATGATGAAAAAGAGAGAATTATTATTTTAATATTAAAATAATTGAATTTGAACAAAGGAAGGTTATAGACGATTGATAACGGATTAACATATGAAATATTTCTACCAGTTTTACACCACAATTATAATTTTTCTAATTTGTAAATACAATAAAAAGACCCATAAGCCATAGATCCTTAAAGTTCTGGAAAAATAGCTATTTCCAAAATTAGCAATTTTGAGTTGTCTCATTCAACCTCGTAATATTAAACCAAATCAACTCTACCTCTCAAAACGTCAGCGGGGATGAGCCTCTTGAACGTCTTGGGTCTTTCGGCGGGAGCGGCTTCGGTGCTCTCCTTCGTTTCTTCCTTTTTCTCTTCGCCAGGCGCTGCGTAGCAAACCGCCACCAACAAAAGCGCGGACAACACCACTAGCGATTTCATTTTTCTGGTGCTTAGAAAGTTATAACTTGTTTTAGGTGCGTTTGAACGTTAGGTGACCCACAGGGACCCACTTTAAGACCCACGCAAGACAATTTTTGGTTACCGACTGAAGCAGTGCCGACGGGAAAGCGCGTTATATAGTTTTGCCGTTCGAACGTTTTGAGGCCCCACCAACGTCGCCGGAGTTGGGATCAGAAACGAAAACCAGATTCGTGTTTTCACAGTGGTCCGTGCAAGTTTCGGTCCAAATCTAATTAAAATCGATTTATACCCGGAATAAATTAGAATAGCGGCGCTACTGTCGGTAGGGGCGGTAGAATGAGGTTAGGGTCCCGTAATGAAAAACGAAAAAAAAATGTCTAGGGATTTTCAGAGAAAAACAACCGGCGGTCACTTGTACAGGAGATAATAGATAATCCTAGTTTAGTTTAATTAAATCAGAACAAACGTTGTTCAGATTTTCACATAAATATATTTAATAAACTAACCAAAAATATTTTGGGTTATTGGTGTTTCCAAAACGGAAAATATGACAAATTACACGTCAGCGAAATCAAAGCAAAAAAATCTGACCTGAAGTTGACGATGGTGATTCAAAAAAAAAAAGTGGCCATGAAAATGCGCTTTTAGTTAGGCATATCTTCTCGTCTGACTATAGAAAAAATATTGAGATCAAGTCCTTATTAAATCAAAATTCATTATTGAACACGTTGTACGAGATGGGAAGAAGAAAAGCGGTTTATTGTTACACTTTCCTGTATATTTCGGTTAGTTAACGTAAATAGTTTTTAAGTATTATAGAAATTAAAGCTAGGTTACATCGTAACAGTTGGTGACCACCCTGCGTACAATTGGGTTGAAACGTTTAAAAATAATTGTCGTGTATGAGTGTGTGCGTGGATACCGTAGGCGACATCAATGGAAAAATTGCGTAAACGTGACTGGGACAACGGAGCGGTCGCCTCTTCCGCAAAATGCATTTGAAATGTCCATTTACTGGCGAATTGGTCTGAAAAATACGTGATTCTGTGATTAATACCAAGTTGGAGTGCCACAGGGTACTTTCCTTAGTCCTGTGCTGTTTACAATCTTTATGGACTATATGCATAATCTGGAAATATAGATAAAAGAAAATTCATTCCATAATTTTTCAAAGAAACTTCCGCAGGCTACTGTAATGCTTTTTACAAAACACAGTTTCAGTCGAGCTCTGAAGAAGCCAACAGGATGATTGGCGAAACGTCAGCAATTTCGACTAAGCAAAAACCGACGCAGGAGGAATCCAGAAGTTTTGTAAAAAGCAAAATTCATTCCATGTATCCATGGAACATTGTATTTATTTTGCAAATAGTCTCTTACGTCCCTTACTTTATAACAGGTGCCCCGTCCTGTTTCTCTACTATATTTGGAATCACAGCAAGAGGTAACTTAAGGTAAAAAAGAGGTGAAAATATTCTTCTCCTCTAAATCGAATGAAATCAAATAGAACCCGGTTTTATTTGGCTGCAATCGATTGACATATTGACAAATGTCCAGATGTCAAAATTTATTTATATATTTTTGATTGCAGAATCGGAATGTTTAGGCTAAATGCTCCATGTTACAGTAATTTAAACTTTATCATAGGATCCATATTAAAAAAGTTATCCATCGGGTAATTAATGATGCATGAGGAAATGTGATCATATTGCAAATAAATTAATTGAATCGGATTGGCTGAGAATGTCGAAGCATGAAAAATTATAAAAAAGCCTTTTACAATCCGTACTGTAAATCTGCATATTCTTTTTTTTTCCTTTTTTTTCTTTGTAAAATACAAGGATTGAATTTGACGAGCAAACTCCTTCAGGGTATTCTTTCATGAATTTGTCGCCAATACAGATACTTTTTGTAATTGTGGTTCTTTGTTATATGTGCCGATAATGCGTGTAATGTTCGGGAATTATTATTAGGAATTATTATTAAGGCGTTTGAGGATGTGAACTATTAAACCAGTTCGTAGACGAGCCACTCAAATGACGCATGGAAACAGCGAAAAAGCCCAGAAAACCCGCAAGTTTTTCACATCGCGTGACCGGCCATCGTGAAAATTAAATCGAATTAAGGTCTGCGTTCGGGTGGCGATGATTTGGGTTTTATGTAGACCGCAACGTGGAACCGAAAAAAAATCCTTTCGAGATTGGACGGTTACGTAACCGCTTGACATTTCCATAAATCAAAAATCCAAATGTCACGCGTCGAACAACAGAGAAATTTTTCCCAAAACTGGATATCGCGCGAATATTCCAAAAACCGGTCAGACACAAACACGCCTACAACACTTATTCAAATTTGCAGACTTAAGGCATGCCATACCCCGCCGGGTTTGCCGTCGTAAAAATGAAAAAAAAGTTTAATTAATTTTTTAAATCAGCTTTCTACAAAATTTTCTTCTACTAATTATAGTAAGAGTGAGTGTTTTAGAGCTGGAACAAATTCAATGCTATTTTAGTGGGGGCGGTCAATCACTTTCGTAAATAAATGTCTATATTCCAAAAAAATCATTGAAAAGTAACTTGGAGTTATTAAAAAGGGCTTTTTCTAGTGGTTTGAGTGAGCCGATTGTCACGTTTTGGGAAAAAATAAATTAAATTAAAATTTAAATTAATTTATTAATTAATTAAAATTAAATTAGTCACTCCGCATGAGCGTGATTGGTTGGTGACGGTTTTTCGGCTGGTTGCTACAAACACTTTTTTACTGCGCTTTAATATCATTGTTTTCATTTATTTGATATTATTATTTTTGAAAAAAATTTACAGTAGAAGAAATTTTATTAATTACTAAATTATTTAAGCAGTAGCTCGTCGATTTCTTCTATTAGGCACTGGATTACGATGAACTCGTCACGTTTAAATAAGACATTTTTAACGCCATAAATATAATCATGGCAATCTTGATAATTAGAAATGAACGATTTCTCTCAAAGGAGATGTTTTATTTATTTCTTAAATGACTTTCCACATGTTACTACTTAAATACGCTGATAATTAATCAATTTATGATAGGAAATATTGTAAATAAAATAAATAACGAAGTTTAAATTTAAATGAGTAAGTATCATTTGGAATCCAAAGTAATAAATTAAAACATATAATATGGGAACTATTCCTAACACCTTCTGTGTTTCGACATATGCGGCAGTTTTGTTTGTTGACGTAGCCATGAATTCATGATGAATTGCCAAACCAAACTGAGAATAAATCACTTGACGGCTGTTAAATCGGTCGCCATCTTGAACAGTAATGCCAACTTATATAAAAAATACCTATTACTACATATATTTAAATCTTTATTTGTACTTAGCTTTATAATTTAGTATTTGGGGTTCGGAGATGGGTTCTGGCCGGGGTTCTGGCATGGGTTCTGGAGATGGACTTTTCTCTAGAATTTCGCTTGTGGCATTCTATATTGTTGCTAAAAGCTCAGACAATACCTGCTGAGCTTCTTTTTTGGCATTTTGGGAATTATTTTGATCTAGATAATCCTGCTTCTGTTGGTGGTTTCTGGTTAAATAATAATAGGGTGGGAACAGCAGTTTTTTTTTAGAATCTTTTTTAAAGGTAAACCTAAAATTTAAATTTTGTGTAGAATTTAATGAGTTACTCAAGACAAAAAAAACCAGATAACTCATTTTGTAAGTCTCTTTCGTAATCATTTTCAGTAAAATGAACTGAGCAGACATGGGAAAGCGATGAAAACTACCTTTTCGGGAACTTGCTTTTTCATCAAAATAGTTGTTATACATGGCACATCTCGTTCCAGGCATGCCTAACTATTTTTTGATGTAACACCACGTGCGATCGATAATTTTCAAGAACGTATGTCTTATGGGATTGGGCAATCTTATTAGGTTTGCGACTCTTGGTCGGAGACTATGTATTAAAAAATATTATTTTTCGATCATATGAGAAACCGCCATCTGGTGTCAAGTTAAGGAATCGCCTCGCTTATGATATGATGCACTATTGATAGCATAGCAATAAGATATAGCCTCTGTTACTTTTTTTTTCAGAGATAGAGCATAGAGGATTAAACAAAAAAGTTTTGAATTTGTCTCAGCTCCAATGCGGTACTCACTCTAACTATGGTTAGAATAAGAAAAATTTTCGGAAAGCCGATTATAAAAATTTATGTTGCGATTTACTTAACAATTTTTTTTTCAAATTTCTATTGGACTTTTGGGACGTATGGATGAAAAATGTTTTTAAGAAATGGCGTCTATGAGTGGCTTTATATTCGCTTCTTGGATGAAGTGAAAGAAGCGGGGCGATGTCGAAAGCAAAAAACTGACTCATCGGCTACGCTCGTCCTAGTTTTCGCGAAGAGCAGATTATGATCATTATCTAGCGATATCCAATCATTTCATTCTTTGCGGCGTGAACCAGTAAAGTACAATCTAATACGTCCATTAGTCTTAGAGGTAACTTAAAGGTTCAAAGATCCCGTTACGTTTTTTGTCAATGGTGAAAGTTATGGCAGCATCGGGAAAGCCTGCAGAACTAACATCTTCATATTTAATGTCATTCACGTGGACTGACTGGCGTTTGACTTGAGCCGATGCTTTCCAAGGTTCGCGTCGATATCACTTATGAGGCAGATATTAGACGAAAATATGTAAATATCGGCATTCGAATTTCACTTTCACATGCACTCATAGTGGAAGCGGGTTCGCCAGCGAATACAATTAGGTTTGATTGTCACCTAGTTGAATGCACACCCTCTTTTTGGACAAATAATTGGTTTTCGCTCTAGATTTCGAGCAGATTATAGTTAAAACCAGCATTTTTATAACTTTCCGAACTCAAATCTACATTAAAACTGCAGATAACTACTTAAAAATTCAATTTCTTGGATTAATAGCAGGTTTTTCCTGCTCATTTTAAAAAGATTCCAGTCAAAATCGTCTCCTCCGACACATATCTAACCTAAAACCGCATCAAAACTGCAGATATCAGCTCATTTTTTCATCCAAACAGTGAATTTTTGTTGTCAATATGTTTCAAATCCTAGTCAAAGCTCGCGTCTTCGGGCATTAGAGTAAAATAAACCATTAGATATCGATATAAAACCCCGTTTCTGAGTCAAAT